TCTGAAGTCAACGTAGGAACACTACAATCAGTATCTGTTAAACTAACAAAAAAAATAGCATAAACAAGACATAAGCAAATATTTACAGTACTGTGCAAAGGTCTTAGGCAAAGAAAATGATGTTCAAATCATCCTTATGTTGGTGTAAAAATATGATGCCTGTCAAAGTGTGTCAGGTTAGACACATCTACTAAAATCACCCTAGTATCTGCAGGAACTACTCGAAAGAGTAATTTAACAAATCAAATTAGTTAATTAATTGAGCTATAGGTGAAATGTAACAAATACATGGAATGAGGAATTGGAATATTTTCAAATATTGAAATTTGATTTTGTTGTAATAAACAATGTCGTATTTATGAAACAAATAAGGAGTTCAACATAAATTTCTTAGAAACCCGTCTAGGAGTGATTTAAACAGCAAGGATGAAAAGGATTATGATTGTCTCGGAGAACGCATGTAGCACTCATGCAAAAGCAGCAGAGGTAAACTTTAAACTGATTTTTAAACATATACTAGATAATGGGGAACAGAAGAAATCCATAATGTTTTACTGTGTTACTGTGTTGCGGCCATGAGCACCAGTACCTCCAGTATAGCTCTGATCATGCTAGTGGTGACCCCCTCTCCCTCCTTTTTGACCAGACAGCTGCTTATTGGTTTCAGGGAGCCCTGAATTAAACCGATTCCCTTCAGCCGCTCCGACTCCTTGCACACCAGGAGGCTCTCCCCTACAGAAACATACAGTATTTTTTTAAATAAATAAAATAAAATGAATATTATAGTATTCAAGGCTTTAAACCCACACCAGGAGGCCCCTCCCCTACAGAAACACACAGCACTCACGGCTTCCCCCCAGCACCCGAGGAGCAAGTCTGTGAGACCCCTAGACGAGCTGAGCAGACACCATGCTAACGTACCCTTTGTATCTACCCCTTTGCGTCCGGCTCGCCCTGACATCTGCTTGTAGGTGAGGATGTCCAGCAGGTGACCGTTGAAGACAGGGGTCCTTATAATGACTCGCCGGGCAGGCAGGTTAACTCCAGAAGACAAGGTAGAGGTGGCTGCTAGAATTTTAATGCAGCCCTGCCGGAAAGCGCCCTCCAGAATGTCCCGCTCCTCAAATGTCAGTCCTAGAATTTTATCGAAACCCGGGTTTCATTAAATCATAGTCTCCAAAATAATAATTTATAGCCCAGTTTTGCACTGTGGGAAACAGCTTACCTGCATGGTGGAATGCAACCCTCCATGGAACAGTACGTTGCAGTACCGGGTCCAGTCCAGCAGGGGACCGTTTAAGCTGGGCCAACACATCCTGCAGTCCCTCACGATTCCAGGACAGCGGCAAGGAATTAGGATTCAGCTGTACCTCTTTAGATCCTGTTGCCAAAACACAAAATAAACACAGTAGCATTCACGGTGCTTATTAAAGCACCCTTATTTAAAAAAAAAAAAAACACACACACACACACACACAATACATAGTATAATAAACAATTTCTATGAATGAATAAAAAGCTCATTACCTTCAGTAACCTGCGCAGTTCTGCGCTGCAGATTAAAAAACTCACAGGCTATGCTGTCAGCCAACTTTTCACACCAGTTTTTAGACGGACAAAACAGTAGAACAGAGTTGCCATCCTGAATCGTTTCAAAACACAGGCTGACAATATGATCGTCGTCTCCCTATGACAGAAAAAAAATTTGTTCTTAAAATATTAAATAAAACTGTAAATGGGAACATGCAACACAGAATATGTTGTTATTCTAATTGTGTTTGTGTGTCTGTTCCTTCACACCTTCACTTGCAAAGTGGGTTTGAAATCCCGGACCAAATTCAATGAACCATCATATATCTTATTGCCAATCTTCAGCTGTTCCATCAGGGGTACCGGTCGATAATCAGTGTGATACAAATCTGCATTCAGCCAACGGGCCAACAAGTCCAGATTGGGCAGAGTGGCGCTCATCCCCACAATCTGGATCCCTTCACTGAACACTGGAGCATCCTCTGGAGAGTCCCTAACCCCGGACGAAAGAATTCACATCACATTTATTTATTTAGTAGACACTGTTACACAAAGTGACATATGAGGGAGAGAGCAGAGTCAGCCGTCCCTGAAGCAGCAGGGATTAAGGACAGGTCAATAACACTGCCAGACACAGGATTTGAGCAGACGACCCTCTGATCACGACCCTAGAGTCCTAACACACCAAGGAATATTTATGGATAGCGTGTATACAGTAGCAAGGACAGGAGCCGTATGACAGCTACAAACCTCGCGAATGATTTCTGCGAGATGTAGAGTATCTTGGTGAGCAGCAGCTCCAACAAATATCCCCGACCGGAATCCCCGAGCATGTGTAGCTCATCTACTACTATTATTCCTTAAAAAAATAAAAACAAGTCATTTGACCAGGAACGGAGAACATACATGTCACACAATAAAAATAAATTAGCAAAATTATTACCGAGAAGATCTAGTTTGTTCTCTTCGATCAGCCTGTTTATCAGTCCGTTGGCTTTTTCGATGGTGCACACAGCAACGTCAAGTGCAGAGAAACCACTAGCTGGGGAGGTATTGCCCATGTAGCCTTCTACTCTGATCCCTGCTTCCTGGAACACGTTCTACTCAAAAACATTACAAAACAGCTTTTCACAAAGCAAACAACTACTCTCTTATATATATATATAAATCAATTCATAAACACATCTGGTGAATGATGAAAATCCTAGATATTATTCATTTTAGACACTCTTAATATCTCCATCCGATTTCTGCACTGGGTTGGAGAAACACTAAATGCACCAACCTGGAGGTAATGCATTTTTTCTTTTGCCACTGACACAAAGGGCAGAATGAAGAGGGCCTTCCTCTTACTTTCCAGCAGCCTTTTCAACATTAATAACTCGGCCACTAACGTTTTACCAGCACTGGTAGGAGCTGTGATAAAGAAGAGAAAAGAATATAAGTTTATGTTTATAAATTCATATAAGAGCAAGAAAAGAAAATGAGATACTTACCAGAGTACACCAAATTCTTTCCTTCTAAGACCTTTCCGAGAGTGAGGCACTCGGCCTGCCACTCGAACATCCTAGTCACCCCTAAACACTGGTACTTCTCAAGCACAGGTTTTGGGAGACCCCAGCTGGACAAAAGCAGCTTATCAGACTTATCAGGAGGAACATTCATATGAATGCCCTGTCCTAAAAATCAGAAGATAAAACTCTGTAAAAATACTAAACATAATGATTATAAAGAATATCCATGTGCATAGATAACATGAACCCACAGTACATAAAGCATATTCCAATGACACTTCTTTACCTGGATCAACTAGGGTCTCGCCGAGCAAACTGAACTCAGGTGGTGGAGTTAACACCGAGGCCGAGAGGTTTCCAGAAGAGCGCTTCTGCTCAGGATCCTTCTTCTCATGAGTGACACTCAGACACGTAGGGCTGAAAAGGATGAAGTCCCTTGAATTGCCCGGAGCAGGTGCCTGCAGATAGCCATTATTGGGATGAGACAATTTATTCCTAAGTCTGTCAACAGAAGCTGGAGCAAAAAAACATTTTGTTTCCTTGACGGGATTTATTTGTGAGATAAGCCACGTAAATTCCCGGAGTCAGGCCTCGACAAAGATATTTCGTTGTCAGATCTAATTGAGCCAATATTCAAAGTTCTTCAACTCCCACAATGTGAATTTGTAGGTAGAGCATTTGCACTGAGTAGATGTTGTGATGCATCCTTATAAGCAAATGCCATTCCAGGATGTGTAAACTCTGATTTTCTTAAAACCAAAGCCAGACTTACATTTGTGGATCCAGTTTCCTTTACTCTTTGCATATCTGGATTTTGAAGATCCTGCTGTGCGATCCGTGTGAAGTCAGTCCTTTTCTCACATAACGCCTTGCCACATGCAGACAGATTGCTCAGATTTTCCCGGCACTTGGGCTGTATGTTCACTCTGTTCTTAGATGCCTGATATGGGGCCACAGCACCAGGGACTCCCCCTTCCTCTGTGGCCAAAGTGGGGGCTCCAGCAGACTTCTTCTGTCTGTTTGGCTTGAAAAGGGTGCATTGAATTTATACAAATCATACAAAGAAACGTGGTGTACAGGCTAACACTTAGGATATGTGTCTTACCATACTGATTGTTTTGGCATGATCTCTTTCGACCAGAATCTCGGTCACCTTAGCCGTTGTCTCTGGAAAGTGGCTTGAATCTCTTGATGTAAGTGGAGTAACAACAATTAGCTAACACTACTGTGTTCTGATTGGTCATACTTAGTGTGACGGAATTATATAATTTAAGATTTTTAAAACAAGCCTATGATAAAAATACATTTTTTAACCATATTAGAATAATAATAAAAAAACAATAAATGCAGCTTGGAATGATATTTAAAATTGTATATATTATATATAATACTGCAACAATATAAAAACAACATTAAAAATACTGATTACGCATTCCAAAGTAGACTAGCTTGGTATTAAATAGTTAAACACTTACTTGTTTTTCTTGAGTATCTGATGTTGTCCCAGGTAAAACTTTTTTTTCGGGTCTTGAATGCATTTATTCATTTTCCTTTTTTATACTATTTACAAGTTGCGCAAAACTGCCTTTTTTAATAAAATGAGTCTTTACTGTTTAAAACATAGTTTTCTACCTGTGTGTTTTCTTTCCAAGTTGCATAAATCCCACTGCCATTTCAATCACAACAAAGAAAATCTTAAATCGGCCTTTACAGATCGTATTTACAACAGTAATACAACAATATAATATAATAACAACTGATGCATTCACATATTACAAAACTGAAATATTGCCATGTTAAACATGATCAGCAAAATAAAAAGACCTTCAATACCAAAAAGGCCAAATACGACAATAAAAACATTAAGCTCACGTTTGAAATGACCGCTAGTGCATCACAAAAGTCTTCCGACTGACTACACGTCTGTAGATCAACTATAGTTCCTAACCTGCAATTGGCTGGAACAATTCTGTTGCTTTTCAGATGAGAGAGGAATATTCTAGGAGTGTTAATATAGTAGCGGTGTCATGCACAGCCCTCTAGAAAGAGCGAGTAAAAGAGTGCAGGAGATGAGGAGTAGGACAAAACGTTTTTGGGTAAACGATCCGTTCTGGTGGCATGTAACACTGCTGTGTCCTATCAAGAAGATGTAAAATAAATACTATATTTAATACTGTATTACACAATCAGTTGTTTTAATCCGTTCATGGATTTGTGGACTTCATGTGTATTATTTTAAAGAAATTCCTAACAGTTTAAAGGTGAGTAAACATTAATTGTTTTAGTGCTGGCTTAAATGACGGCAAATAACAAGTACAGAATCACTATACAAAGTGATTGTTTGTATTATTTCTTTAGTTCTTTTATGTGTATACTTTGAATACAAAAAATTAAATTAATGCGTCCTGCGTTACTTTACGTTCATAGGTGAGATTACATCATCAGGAAATCCAAATGCGCATCCTCTGTTTCTTTTCCCCAGAAAACGGTACCCTGGATTAATGTAACTGTGAATGTTAAAATCTTCTTAATTAAAAAAAAAATGCTTAACCTGATCATTTGATTATTCAGACATATTGCAGATATATTGGCAGTGATTAGATTTTATTCTGTATAGCAAGGCATATCCTACACACTGTTTTTCAGAAGGAAAAAAACTAAATAGATTGCGCTAAATCTTCCTTTGCGTACAGTTCTAACACATTTCGAAATGATTAACAATACTTGGCTGTTGTAGTCATTAGTTTTATTTAGTTGACATATATATTTATACTTTTAGTAGCTGAGATGAACTTCAGTTATTTATGATAATGAAATGCCGATAGCATAACATATACTGATGGCGTTGGAGATGCGCAGTATTTCTTAGATTGAACAGCTCCTACGCAAGGGTTATATTTTACTCTAATTAATTGTATAATCAGACAGTACGTTAAGCTATTACTGTGCTGCTTATTATAGGTGATTCTTAACGTTTATTAATTTATTTCTCGCAAACCTCTGAGTTTAGGCTTTCATGTAAGGGACCGTCGTAAAAGTTCACTCTCAAAAGACGACACTGGTCAGTGTTGTAATGAAACTGCGTATCAATTGGAATCGAGAGTAAATATAAGTATTTTATTACATATTCATGATTTTTCTTAGGTTTGTATTTCACAAACGTATTTCAAAATAAACATTAAATAAGGAAACAATTATGATGTTAGCTTAGTTAAAAGATCCTGAATTTAAGAAATTTTAAATGTAATAATTTTCTCACCTACATTAGAAAATGTAGATATCCTCTTACCAATACAGTCTACATTTACGTGTAGAACTTATAGTTAGACGCTGGTAACTATGTTAACATTTAAGTCAAACCCAAAAAAATGTTCGTTGTAATTTTTAGTTTTTGTATTTAACCCACATTACTTCCCTTTAAAATATCTGTATTGTTGTTGTTGTTTTATTTATGTATTTATAGTATTATAAATCCCAGTATAATTGAGTTTTTTGATGAACAAAAACGTAACTTGAATCATTAAAATTCAGCCATTTACTTGTGTTATTGACAGCTGGATTACTTCTCGGGTAAAACGTCTAAAAACATTTGCCTAAAGCTCATGTGTCAGTAAAAGGAATCCATGTAACCGAATTTCTGGTACATTTCTGATACAGTTATATAGTTTCAACAAATCAAGCTGTAAATAATAGAAATATTGCATTCTGGTTCTCCCTTTTCCGTATAATGTACAGGCTTGGATGTTGTGGCTCAAGCACGTTATCCCTGCGCTGAATAGTTCTGGTTGAGGAACCTGCCTTATACAGCTGGTCAGTTTGTATAGGAAAGAGGAAGTGGATTTACTTTACAGTTTAAACAAGCCTGAAGTCTGAATACTGAACACATTACTTAGTAGTTTCATATGTTGTGTACTAAAGGCAGCTTAACTATAGCCTGCACCAAACCAGGTTCACTCCTGTTTTGTTTTCTTGACTTTATTCAGACTGAGAAGAGATATGGACAAGATCCTGGAGACAGTTATGATGTCACCACATTCCAGATTGGTGAAGCAGGGCATTTTGAGGAGAGTGGTTGAGTCAGCCTCACAGCCCCTGGACAGCTCTCAGTGTATGGCCATTTTCCAGGTGTCCACTAAGCTCTTCCTCACTGGAAACTCTCAGTTCAAGCGAGATGCTGGTTTGGAAGTCCTTGAGGCCTATGCTCAGCACCACAAATTGGAGTTTGAGGAGTTCTTCAATGTGAGATTTGTCTTGAACCTCCTACGGGAAGGTTATGGGCCAGTAGGAAGGCAGAGCCCTCTAATATTCCACTACCTTCAAGTGGGGCTGCTTCTTGTGGCAAATACTCCTTCAACTCTGAACTTGTTCCACATGGTACAGATTGAGATTCTGCGTATTGTGTGTGAGAGGCCCGGTCCGGAAGTGTGTGAGCAGCTAGCGCGCCTGCTGAACACTTGCCCTCAGTGCGCACCTAGTGGAAACCTACAGACTGTGTTCTGTCAGCAACTTATGCAAACCATTCATCACTTCCAGTGCCAGAGCCAGAATGATGATGGCATTGTTACCTTCCTAGAACGTGTCACCAAGACAAGTAGCATGCTGCAGATAGTCTGGAGGACCAACATGGCCACTATTCTGCCCTCTCTCAAGGAGCTCTTCATTATAATCTCTACACCTAGAGGTTTGTGGGACAAACAGGCAGGATCTTCTGCCTGGTCTTATTGTGATGTTATCATTCTCATTGTTGCAGTACTGTATACATTGCAGAAGCATGCACTTTCTAGATTTGCCTAAAAAAGAAAAGCTGTACAGACGCTCCTCTACTTATGAATGAGATACGTCCCGAGCGGCCGTTTGTAATTTGAAATGTTCGTAAGTCGTTATCTAACATCATTTTAAGGGTATACGCAAGTACAAAGAACTAGGATGCTGGAAGTTCACATGCTACCCCATCACAGCGGCCAGAAGTCATGCTAGGCGGAATTGGCGCGCAGAAAAAAAAATTGATGTTGCAGACAGGAAACAGGAGCCCAATGATCATAATTTGGACTTACTGTCCTCTTCGTTCGTATGTCTGAAAGTTTCGTAAGTTGAAAGTTTGTAAGTAGAAGAGCGTCTGTATTTTGGACAAACCACTACTTTCCCACCAGATATGATAATGATACGATGACTTCGCAGATGTGTCATTTACCTTGATAACTGTCATTTCAAATCTAGTCCTAGGTCTGTGTTGCTGTATATTGCATGTATTTCCTATGAAACACATTGACAGCCAAAAGCACTGCGGGCAAGAGTTGAGTTTGTAAATTTGATGTTGACAGTTGGCAATCTTAATGGGGCCAATACCACTGAGTTGAGTAAAAGTTCCACTTAAACATCCAGCAGTATATGGGTAATAACCAGAGGCTGCTTTGATGTTAGTCCACTTAGTAGCTAAATCTAGCCCTCAAGATGTTGCAACTCTTTACATTTTGTTATTATAAACCAGAAGAAGAGGATACTGTTACCTCAAACACCCTGGCCAGTGTGGTGCAATACATACCCTTGGAACTAATGGAAGGAACAGTACGCAATCTCACCAATGATAAGAACATCTCTGATGCCCAGATGATGACAGCCATCTGCAGGTAGGGTGTACTGAGAAAGCATGGTGCTGACATAAAGCAGACAGCGACTGTAGGTTCCTTCAGTCTCAGATGAAATAGGGTTTTTTTTTTTGTAACTATGGGTGATGGTTGTTTTGTGTAACCATGTTTTGGGCTCTGAGAAATCACAAGGGAGGTCTACATGCATATGATTCCAACCACCAAGGGACCACATTGAATTGAAATATTGAATGGCGGGCTGCTTACAGTTATTGCTGTTAAAGATACAATTTAAAGTTAATGTTTAGCACACTGTAGAAATATTAGCTTACATTTGTTCAAGGTGGCTCATCACAAAAACCCCAATATAAGGGTGAGGACACATCACAGAATTGCAGAGTTGGGTAATTCAGGTCTAGAGAGTAAAAGTTCAGACCGGGACTTTGTTTCCACCAACCAGTTGAGTCATCTGTGACTGTGACTCTTTATGCTTAACTGGTTGGTTGAAACAAAATCCCGGTCTGGACTTTTACTCTCTGGACCTGAATTGCCCAACTCTGCAGAATTGTTAGCATTAGACAGATATCCTTACATAGTTACCATATATAATTTACTAATAGAATTTTCATTGCTGGTGTTTGTGGTAGCTAATAAGCTTTGTTAATGGTAAACGCAAGTGTCAGAAGTGCTGGCTAGTAAATCAACCGAATATGTATTTTACTTTTTCATACTTATGCAGTATGTGAGTTTCCTGTAAATTCATGTAAATTAGTTTTCCTAGCTAGCTACATAAAATTCAGCATCACTTCATAAAACTGTGCTACTGACCATAAAACCATTAAATGGATTTTATTCATTACGGTTAACTGCTAACTTTATTTCAGTAGACTCTTTTTGCTAGATCTTACGTTGTACCTTCCCCCAACTGTCACCATCCACAGTAAAATTTCTTTAACATGGTTAATTAATAGGAATCTGATGTGTTTACTTAGGAGAGAAGTGATTATAAAAATAAGGGTTAAAAAAATCTAAGGTACCATTTAATTATATTCCAACTGCCAATCGATAGATGTCAATTATACGTTGTAGTTGCCTGATTTGGTAAGTTGTTTACTAGTTGAACATATAGTGTAAGTTACATTGGTTGGGTGGAGCTCAGTACTATATTATACAGATGATATTTCATTATCATAAATAACTGAAGTTCAGCTCAGCTACCAAAAGTATATAAATATTTATGTCAATGAAATAGAAGTAATGTCCACAACAATGTTTGTGAGTTGGTTGACTTGTAATACAGACTTGAGTGGGTACTATTGGCATGAACAATTATCATTATTTTCTTTTGTCATTGGTACAGAATGATGGACTGGTTGTCTTGGCCATTCTCCAGAAATATAGACAAGTGGGTTATCGCTTTGATGAAAGGAGTTGCATCAGTGAAAAAGTGTGTGATCTTGGTTGAGGTGACACTTGCTAAGATTGAGGAGGTGAATAAATTTTTCATTGTATTAGTAAGTTGGTAGCATTTTACATGACAGGGCACAAACAGTTACTATTGAAGTACAAAATATAAACAAATCTTAAACAAATATGTGTCACAATTCATTAAAAATGAACAAACATGATTAATATTTCACATGTATTACTCATTACTTGTTCCTTCAGTAGTTCACAAAGGATTCACAGAATTAACAGATATAGTAATGAATTTAGTAACTGCTTGGGATAAAAGATGCATCATGATTCATTAATGATGAACAAACAGGAGATCACTATTTAACTTGTCTTATTCATGAGTTGTTCCTTCAGGAGTTCCTGCAGCACTTTACAAAGTTGTACAGAATTAACAGATATAGTAACAAATATAGTGACTGCTTGGGATAATTCATGCGTCACAATTCACTAATGATGAATTAACATCAGAATGCAACTAAGTAAGTTTGTGGTTAATTAATACATAAGTAACAGCATGATACTATATTATTTGTGCCCCATCAGGTAAAGTGTTACCAATGAGTCTATACCTAAGAATACCCAACGTTTCATGCCTCACTCTCATAATGAACACCTAGTATTCTAGTATGACATAATTTTGCCTTTATAGGTATTCCAGAAGTTATTTTACCCCATTGTGCGAGAAGCGGCACTGTCCGTGTTATCTTATTTGCTGCTCAGTTTTCAACACTCCCCTGAAGCATTTCACTTGGTAAGTAGGCCTACAACAATACTCTGCATAGATATGTTTCACTTGGTAAGTAGGCCTACAACAATACTCTGCATAGATATGTTTCACTTGGTAAGTAGGCCTACAACAATACTCTGCATAGATACATGCATGTTTGGTTGTGTAACTTAAGATGCGTTGCTTAGAAATCTACATGTATGAGTTACATGAAATGGGACAAGATATTAAAATGAAACCAGCTACTAAAAATTGAACCTATTCTGTATTTGAAATATACTCTAAGTTTGATAATTCCATAATATCAATGACAAAGATGATAATTTATCCTGTCCACAGCTGTTCCCCTATATTATCAAATAAATTATGACAAAATTTGTGCAAACATTATGAACACTGTACAGTACTGTAGAGGAATTCATAGACTCAGATTTGCTAGTGTAGTAAATCTATGGCATCTATAGCAGAGTGCGTCTGCTTTGCTCCCCAGCTACTGCCCGAAATCCCGCCTCTCATTGGCCGCCTCGCAGCTGAGGAGTCAGCCTCGGCCCAGCTTTGCCTGCAGCAGCTTGTGGAGCTGGTGCACTGCCTTGTCATCCGTTTCACTGGATTCCCAGACATCTACCAGCCCGTTCTTGAGATCATCAAGGTTGGATTTCCATGGATTTTGCCTAATACCATAATACATTTTACATATTTTCAACGGCGCACTACAAAAATCAATCATGCCGTAAAAAAAAACCTCTTTTGGCATGTCTTGCAGGACATTGCTGTGCCCAGTGAGGACCGGATTAAGCAGATATTGAAACAAGGGGCTTGGACTCCTCAAAAACCGAATCAAGTGGCCCTCTGTCACAGGCTGACACCAAAATCTGAGACAGGCAAAACTGGACTGATCAATCTGGGTAACACCTGCTACATGAGCAGCGTCATTCAGGCTCTCTTTATGTCTCCTGAGTAAGCATTGCCATACAAAAGCCAAATCAGTCACTCACACTTAGTTTGACAATTCCACAAAATCTCTAAGTTCTGTATCTCATACTATTTTTTATGTTGGATGTTCTGCAAGTAGAGTACTGCAGTAACTTGTTCCTGGTTTTCTGGTGAATTAATAATATACACTATATGGCCAGAAGTATGTGGGCACCTTAAATAGAGAAACTGCCTAAGTCACACCTATTGCTGACATACAGGTGTGTAATTAAGCACACAGTCACACAATCTCCTGCAAAAAAAACTCTGTCCGCAGAATGACTGGCTCTACAGAAGGTGTTAGTGACTTTCCATTTGCCACCATTGGAGGACGCCGTCTGTCCAATAAGTCACTTTGCCACATTTTTGCCCTGCTAGTGCTGCCCTGGTCAGTGTGAAGCGATCGTGGTGGTAAAATTGTTTGGGGGCAAGTTCAGCTGTGAGGTGGGGGCCACACAAGCTCACAGAGAGGGACCTGATCACCCAACATCAATACCAAACCTGAATGGCAGCAAATCCCACCAGCAATGTTCCAGCATCTAATGGAAAACCATCCCAGAAGAGTACAGGCTATTATAGCAACTGAGGGTTAGCCGGCTTCATATTAATACCCTTTGATTCAGAGAGAGATGTTGGACAAGCTGGTGTCCATATACCTTTGGCCATTTAGAGTATGTTACAAACTTATAAATAAGCAGCAAAATTGTAAAAAGTTAACATTGAAATCATGAGATCAGGTCAATTATTTACTGGAATTCATTTGAAACAATCCTATCCTGGGAGAAAGAATCATGTTTAAGTTTGTTTTTAAAAAATTATATTTGGCATTTAGTTGAAGATGAAGCTGGCTGTTGAACTTCAGAATGTCTCAGTTCAGAGTTGTGCTAATATTTATATTTTTGTTTTGAATTTTTGTTACCATTGGGACTTTAGTAAAGATAAAAATATACCTGCTGCAGGATAAAATAAGTAACTCCTGTTTGGAATAATTGCTTTGCTGAAAATAAAGTACAAGGTCAGTATGGTAGAGTCAGGCAGTTTGGCACTGCACTGAATGTTTGTTTCTACACATTGGATCCTAATGTCTCATTAGTTCAAATCATCCAAATATTTTAAAATGGTGAAGACGTTAAATGCAACTTAGTAATGAAATTAAGGACAAGTGTTTGAGATTAGAATGGCATTGCATGGAATATAAATGATTAAAAAAAAATCTGTTGAGAATGTATTTTAAAACATGGCTTCTTATCTCTCGATATTGTAAAAACAAAAGACAGGTATCTAAGATCTGTGTGTCGTTGTTGTTATACAGTATTGTAGGGTTAGTTGTGTTAGGGTCTTACAATTAAGGGCAGAAAGTAGGCTAAAGAGATTAAAACCAAGATAAAGGCCATTTAAAAAGAATGGGGGAATTTTCAATTACAAAATTAGAAAAATTTGTTTTTATTTTAAAAGTTATTCTTTTATAAAACAGTATTTTACTGACTGGTGAAAACCATTCTGGTGTCATACAGGAAAAATTTCCAGACATCATAGTGCTGAGGACATTGGTCACAGTATTACACAAAAATGCATGAAATATCTTACCAGTCAAATGTAAAGATAATTCACAGATAAATGAAGAGTAGCATATTCAGTATGTACAGTATACCATAATACAGTGCACCCTTTCCATATTTTTCAAGACAACTGAAAGTGAAGAGATTCAGTAAAAAGAATGACTGAATGGCTGCAGTTAACCAACATTCTCTGCAGGAGGAACTACACCGAGGAACCACACATGAGAAACAGAGGGTAGAGAGAGACATCTCATGGTGAATGCATCTCCAGGCAGTATTGACTTCCTGACCAAAGAGGGAGATATGTGATGTAGGTTTTGTTGAGTGACTTGATGGAAATGGGTACTGTGTCTTTAAGAACTCTGAAAGCCAGTGCCAAGGATTTGAAAAATGCACCTTGCACCATGTAACATGTCCCAACATTTACATTTTATTTATTTTATTTGGCAAACACTTTTATCCAAATCGACACACAAGCAAGGCAAATAGCACATTGCAAATATACCTGCTGTCAAGGAGTCGACGAGTCATAAGTGTGGCTTGGCTGAGCTTCCAGTAATTGCCCAGGATCAGGTGTAAACAGTAATAGAGCAGGAGCAACTTCTAATAGAGCAGGAACCTAATAAGGTTGCTGTACATTGAGCAGGAAGTTCCATACAACAATAGGATCATTCAGGGAACACAGAGGTATCCGGATAGTGGTGAAACTCCTGGAACAGATGGATCTTGGGGCATTTCTTGAAAGTTGAAAGGGAGTCTGATGACCAGATGGGGTTCGACAGCTCATTCCACCATCAGGGAACCACATGAGAGACATCTAAGTGGGACTTCTTGCATGATGGAGGGATCTCCATGCAGCATTGGTTTGCTGACTGAAAAGGGTGAGATGGAGCATAGATTTTGACGGAGATGGGTTTCTGTCCTTTAATGGTTTTGTAAGCCATTCAATAGGGATCTATTGCCAATGAAGAAAGACAAGGAGAGCATTTAGGTTGTGTGGATACATGATGTGCTGCCACATTTTGAATCATTTGACAGCACAAGCTGATAATCATGCTAGTCAAGAGTCATCACAGTAGTGGGAAGAGAAGCCATGTGACTGAAAGACTGAACCTAGAGAGATTATGTCAAAAGAGAAGAGGAGGGGACCAAGGACGGAGTTTTGGGGGACCCCAGTTATTACCCAATGTGACTTGGACACCTCTGTACCCCAAGGCACTTGGACTAATCTGCCTGATAGGTTTAAGTCGTACCAGCCCAGAGCAGTCCCCACGATGCCAAGGAGGGCAGTCAAATGTCCAGGTCTGAAGCCAGAACGGAAGCTGTTTTGTTTGAGAAAGTCAGAGACTTGTTCGAGTTGATAATTCTCACTCTGTGATGGGTTAAGTATGGGGTTTTTAAGCAGCGGGTTTACACAACGGTTTTTTCTGTATCAGCGGATGTGCAACTGTAATTATATCACACTTTGCACAATATATTCTTGAATTCTTACAAGCTGGGGAGATGGTACTGCCATCTTTCAAAAATAACAGCCAGCCACCAATTTTATGAATTTGGTCAGTCAACGCGATCAGGCCATGATGCTCCCTAATGCTATCTGGGATCAAATTGGACCCTGTGCCCATACTTATCAGCTAAAGCGGATCAGAGTGAAGACATTCCAACCTACCAGGAACCCTTTAGACTTCACGCCAATCATTGAAGGAGGATTCATGGAATGTCGATAGTGTAGGTTACATCTTTTTTAAATCTTTAATTAAAGCGCTCTAAGAGATGTGGGGAGCAATGTAATGTCTTTTTAAATATATTTGTGGAGCAAATATTTGATTATGTCAGAGACCTATTGAGAATTTCCAGACAATTTAATTTGTGGAACAATCAAATGTTTGATTATGTCAGAGACCTATTGTGAATTTCCAAACAGTTTAACTTGTGGAATTATCTAATGTCTGATCATTTTAATGTCCTTGCAAGTCCTTGAGATATTCTACAGTATGGTTTTGGTATGCTACAGTATGGTTTAAGTATGCTACAGTATGGTTTCAGTATGCTGCAAGATGGCATAGTGTCCAAATCGAAATTAGGCAAAACTGCCTGCCAGCTCTTTCTCTTTCTCTCTTCTTTTGGCTTAATTTGTGTGACAAAAAATCAGTACGTAGGAAGACAAATTACACAGGGGTCATTAGGTAATTCCAACTTCATGGCAGCATCTGTAATATCAGAAGAATTAGGGCTGACTTTATGGCCAAGTAATCATCACTGAGCTGCAAGATGCTGGTGGCTGTGTCCTGATAGCACACTAGCAACTTTCACAGCCTCTGGTACAGCCTACTGAAAAATATCATCATCGAAATGCAGAGAAATGAGATCAGCTAATGGAACACTGGACTGCCAATCCATCCAGATGGCATGGTTTCAACCTTAAATACTTCTATAAAAATACAACTGCATTCTCAGTGAAGCAATTCTGGACCACCTCAAACGAGCTTCTTTTTTCACAAACTCAGAAAAGTCCTCCAGAGTAGCACCATGTACCACATTGACATCTAGTGCCTCCTGGGGATCCACTGCAGCATTTCACAATAAAACCGGCAGTGCAAAGTCGACTAAAGGTCGGGATCAAATGTCGAGGATATCCGTACGGTTGAAGCTTGCCTGATCTGTGGAATTCTCGGTGGAACCACGCAATGATCAAGCTTAGTATAGGGCACTGAAGCAGCAGCACTTCAAGAATCAAAGAAATGTGTATTTGTCACTCACACAGGTGATGTGTTGAATCAGAGCAGCAATAATATTATGGCAGGTGCTATTTGCACCCAGGTATCAGTAGCAAGCAATGCTATTTATACTCGGGGTGGATAGCCAATGTGGCTATTTGCACCCAGATGTATGTAGCCGCACAGTGTTTACATTTTTGTGGAGCCAGGGGGCGTGGAGTGGGGGGGCTGGGTGTGACTTGCCAATGTAGCAGCCAGATGCTATTTGCACCCAAGTGTCAGCAGGCGAAACAATGCTATATTATCATTATTAGTGCTATGGACTGCTATTGTTTTTCTCTTCTATTATTATTACCCAGATGCAAATAGACACTCCGTAATTTTATCCATCCATCCATCCATCCCTCTTCCAGTTGCCTATCTTGCACAGTATCTTCTTATATATTTGGACGTTTAGCTTTATAAATACTTTCAACTGTATAGTATTTACATCTCCTTATACTCTGTAATATAGGAAAAAAATGTACCTTTCTTCAATATTTAATAATTTCTAGTGATCATGGGTTTCTCTCACTGTCTGGTAAGATTGCATACTTTATTCAACCATATTATTTAGAAGTACGCCAGAAAAAGATTTCACCATCAGCCTGGATCAATGCCACCTGACCAATGTTTTCCTGACTGTAAACCATGTGATTCTTTTTAAAGGAAAAACATAACAATTACAATATAATTTTTGCAGTGAATTGCAGCAGTGAAATAGTAACAGTGTTTCTAAATAGATTTAGAATAATACTTTGAATGAATCATGGTCTAATGTTTTCACATGATTCAGTTGTCTATAGTTTCTCAATTATCAAATTAGAGGAAATTTTATTAGAACAAATACATGCAACATTCCACCATAATATTTTAATGGTGCAGTGCCTTCGATTAATTTCACTCAAGCATAATTATATATACCAGACCAAGGCCTTTAAATGCTGCAGTACCTTTTAGTGAAATACAGTGTTTTCAGAGTAAAAGGTATACATTTAAGAATCATGGTAAAGATTAATTGTTTATGTTAAATACACAACAATGCAGTAACTAAAACAAATAGACAAGAAAGCCTTAGAACAGAAAACAGAAAAATAAGTTGCCCATTAAAAAAACAAGTTGTTTGCTTATATCCGGTGTTCCTACATTTAACATGAAGCTATGCTATAAAATCATACTGAAATTAGTGAAACGATCTTTTTCATGCTTACATGCATTCACAAGTCAGTTGTGTGAATTTAAGATGACTCCCTATCTATGCGTTAGCTTCCGACATGCTGTCATGGCTCTGAAGAACTGCGATCTCCTTCCAGTCATGGGAGAATTGCAGAGGCTATTTGCTTTTCTGCAGCACAGTCAGGTGAGATTTACCAAATAATGGGATTACAATACAGTTGACAAAGTACGTTGCGATACTTTGTAATTATTCACAACATTCCCATAATTGCAGCTAAGCTTCTGTCAACGATGTCTGTTAGGCTTGTTGCATTGTTTGAAGAATAAATGAAGTAGTATTAGTGGACACTAGCCCTGCTATTCGCAGATAGCTCTGCTTGTCGAACTCTACAAAACTAGAAGAGTGTCTGCCAGCTGAACCCAGCTGAACCTTTTTAAAATGTTAATGAGAAAAACATGCTGGTCAGGGTCCAATCAACATTATTTCCTGAGGTTGTTATTGGCCTTCGGATCAATCAAAATGAAAAATTCCAATGATCAAACAAAGCTATCCTCCTGCGATCATACTGCTGCATGTTAATCGCTCTTTTTTCTTTCGTTTAATTTTATGTTACAGCGTCCAGCCATTTCTCCTGACAAATTTTTGTATGTATCTACCCCTGCCTGGTTCACCCCTGGCAGCCAGCAGGACTGTTCTGAGTACCTCAAGTACTTGCTTGACAGGTGAGGCAGTATTGCTCAGTACTCCATAGTACTCATGAACACTTATATCCTTGTCCCTCTCACTTACTAGTTTTATATGACGTGAAGGTAGTTTTTCTTTCTCTCAGCTTAACAGTTTGACTTTATTTCAGTGTGAGCAGCAGGTGAATCTTCAAATGCTTAAAAACTGAAACATTATCAGACTTAATTTTTTGTCTTTTAGACTCCATGAAGAGGAAAATAAAAGTGCACAAATCGTCAGAGGAAGACCTTCTGAAACGTCTGGCAGTGGGTCATTAATCAAGAAGCTGTTTGGTGGGAAGCTGGTGACCCATATCCGCTGCTTACGCTGTCAGAACATCTCACAGAGGGAGGAAGACTTCAGTGACCTGTCCCTGGCATTTCCACCACCTAGCTATCACGTGGAAGCCTTCACCATTAGCCCTTTTCCTGTAGTGGAAGGGGCCGAACCACCATTACAGTCTCAACGCAGAGTTCCCTCATCCCCCAAAGGAGACAGAAGGGCAGGCATGTTGGATGTCGGGGGCGTTCCCGTGGAGACAATCGGCTGTGTAAACAATGCGGAGTCTCCGCACTTGAGTGAAGAGCCTGAATGTTCATCTGCTGCCTCAGAAGATGACTGTATGCATTCAGACACTTCCTTCTCAGTCCCTGATCTGATCAACTTCTTCTTGATGTCAGAAATAATGGCAGGAGAGAATCAGTACCACTGCCAGATCTGTGACTCCTTGCAGAATGCAGAGAAGGCCGTGGAGCTGACCAGAGTTCCCCATTATCTCATCTTGACGCTGCTGAGATTCTCATTTGATTCGGCGACTAAGAAGCGAAAGAAGATCCTTGACAATGTGTTTATCCCAATAGTTTTGAAAATGCCCGTCAGAAATCCTTCTAGGCAGGTGGAGTCCATTGGAGCCGGGCAGGTGGCTGACACTACAGAAGACAGTTTGTACACCTCAGTGCATTTTGACCTTGTCAGTGTGGTGGTGCATTCTGGGTCATCGTCTGACAGTGGGCATTACTACTGCTACGCAAGGGAATGGAGCAGCAGAGGAGCTGGTGAGGTATCTCCCAAGCAAGATGCCTCGGCTGATGACTCTGGGGTGGAAGATCACTGGTTTCTGTTCAATGACACTAGGGTCTCCTACTCCAGCTTTGGATCAGTGAGCAATGTGACCACTCACTTCCCTAAAGACACAGCATACATGATGCTGTACCAGAAGCGGGCCACTCGGCGTAGAGAGCCTGAAGACCAGAATGTTTCTGCTGCGTTGAATGAAGGAGAGCCTCTTGTCAAGGACCTGATTGAGGCAGTTAGAAAAGATAACAAGCTTTACACTCAGGTGAACTGCTTATGATTGTCTGTTACACTTGCAGGAAATCTTGTAGCAACAGCAGACATACTTAAAGATCTCTGTTGTACATCCCAGATAAGTATAGTGGCAGTAATAACAGTTTGTCAGACACATTAGTGTCTGTAGGGTTCACATGTCAGTTTTTGTCGTATGTCAGTCTTTGTCGCATGTCTGTCTTTGTCGCATGTCTGTCTTGGTCTCATGTCTGTCTTTGTCTCATGTCAGTCTTTGTCGCATGTCAGTCTTTGTCGCATGTCTGTCTTGGTCGCATGTCAGTCTTTGTCGCATGTCTGTCTTGGTTTCATGTCTGTCTTTGTCGCATGTGTTTTGTCCGGTTTCCTGCCATGGTCCAAAAACACACGATTAAGTTAACAGGCAACCGCGAATGTGTGTGAGTGGTTATATAACGGGCCCCCTCCTTCCTGTTAACTTCCCTTCGGGGGGAAGTGTTTGGCTCAGCGGGCTAAGCCTCTGTGCCTATGATTGGCAGGGCACTGGTGCAAGACCCATAACCCCCCCAGCTGAATGGGTGCCGCTGCAGCTGGCTGCTCTTCGCTGCCGAGCTTGCTCTCACCTGCATGTGTGCCATGGAGAGCAAGAGGGGGTGGGCGAGAAGAGAATTTCCCCACCAAGATCAATAAAGTGTCATTATTATTATTTTGAGGTTATGCAGTTGGTGGGTCGGTGGATGGATGGATGTATGGATGGATGGCTGACATCACTAATGTCCCTATTCCACTTCAGGAACAGGAGAGGGGAGTGAAACACAGGGCTGCTCTTTCCCCCTCGGCAGCACAGCCTGTGGTTTGGCTTAGAAAGACCCCGACTCAGGACCATGGGTAGGTCAGCTGCTCTCCGACCTTTAAGAGGCTCTGTGGTAAATAGTTGTCAAACTTAAAATGTCCCCGTGTATATAATTACACATTGCTTAATTTCTCATACTTTCAGCAGAAGTGCGAGGAAACAGAAGCCTAACGATGATGTGCCATCGATTTAAAAACCCTTTTCTGGACATTTAACATTGAAGAGAGGCCATCCCTGGGAATAGGGTCTGTCATTGCTAAGAGTGCCTTCCCCTTAGACCAGGGGTGTCCAATCTTATCCGCAAAGGGCCGCTGTGTGTGCGGGTTTTCGCTGCAACTTCCTAATTAGATTACTAATTAGAGGACTGATTGGCTGAAAAGTCCTCACACCTGGGTTTGAACAGCTGACCTACAGGTTATCCCAAAAACCAGCATATACACCGGCCCTTTGCGGATAAGATTGGACACCCCTGCCTTAGACTGATGTAATGAGTGGCAGGTTCTTTATTGCAAAGCTGTGAAGCCTAGATTAATATTGCTTTGAAACTTTACTTTGCTACTGTGATTTTTTTTTTATGTAATGCAAATATAAATCCACATTTGCTAGTAACATGGCTTATGTACTGTTATTTATGATATAAAAAAATTACCCATTGAAATAAAACTTCAATTGTCTTGTACCTATAATTAAAACCTATGAATAGCATTCTTTTTAAATTATTGATAAATTAGCAAAATGCTTAGTCATTGTAGGACGAAAAGCTAAAAGCATACTATGTATAGCATGTACACGTCCGTTGCAACTACTATTAAATGGTACTTTGACATGACTGCCTGTACAAACATACATATGGGCATAACATTTAAATATAATCAATTCCTAATATGTTTGCGTCTACTTCATTCATAAACTGAAACTATATTGAATATAAGCAGTAAATGTATAGCTGAATACACTGGTAAAGAAGCAAATAAAATAGTACAGTATTATTGAATTTGAACTGTTGTTCTGTGAATAAAAGTATTGTACAGAATGCATGCAAGTATTCCATGTAATTGAAGAGATTTTATTTTATTACGATGCAACACAGATACTGCAATACTTAAAATTTGTTCATAGACAACATTGTAATAGTGTATCTAGCATAAAGAAGCCTTAGTTACATAGTAGATTACAAATATCAATGTTTAATACCGTGGATATAGGTCTACCTACCTTTACCGAAATTACCAGTTTCTGTCACATAAAGCCAGAAATTAAGATAAACCACATCAGACATTTTTCCATCTTTAATGTGACCTTGCAACCAACAAAATTCAAGAAAAAAAGTGAAAAATAATAAGAAGGACTAATAAGTAACATGTTTTTGTTTGTTATACAGTGACATTAAGGACCAGATATGATTTATCTTGACTTCTGGCTTTACAACAAAAGAACTTACACTTTCAATAAGGTTATGTAGTGTTTTTATAACTACTGTAGTTTGACTGTATCCCAGAAAAAAATACATTTTTATAAGTAACAACCATTTACTGAATGAATTATTTAACTGGGTAAGTACAATGCTACAATGTAACTACAAGATTAGGATAACTGAGATGCGGGGCGTACAGTACCTTCACTCAGTGGCTAATTTAGAGGCTCCACCTAGTTAGCAGCTGGTGAGCCCAACTTTTGCCTCTAGAATCAATAGTAGACTGGCAGTGCATTCAGAGAAGCCTTTCTGCTCAGCACTTGTGTATTAGCTGCACTTGTGGCCCTCCTGTTGGCTCTACGTCTGGCCGTTGTCCTCTGACCTTTCTCACTAGTCAGATGTTCTTACCCACGGAACCACCGGCGACACAGATTCATTCTCTGAAAATCCTAGACGCAGTAGTTTGCTAAAATCGCAGGATGGCTGATTCTGAGGTGCTGGTACCACCACCTAAAATCAAACCATGCTTAAAATGACCTGGATCAGGGGTGGGGAACCTGATCCATGGAGAGCTGCTGTGGGGGCGGGTTTTTGGGACGACCTCTCAGGCAGCCAATAATAAAGCAGCGGTTCTCAACCCCCAGTCCTGGGGACCCGCTGTTATTGGCTGATTAAGAGGTCATCCCAAAAACCACAAAGGCCGTTTGAATTAACAAGCAGGTATTCCTGATAAACCGCATCATTTAATATTCATAATTTTATTTGCCTTCATTGTAACTAAGTATTAAAAAGTTATAAATAATGGGCGAAAGCGATCTCAGCCCGCCATGATGTCTTGAATGTACCTGAACCTAATTACAGTGAAATACAAATAATGCTCTCAATTGTTGTATCCTCCACTTAAAATAAGCCAATTAAGATAAGCCAGTGTTTCCCAACTCGGTCCGCTTTTAATTAATTAATTAAAAGTTAACTATAAATCATTATCATTATAAAGTGTTTTCTTAGCATTATATTGCTTTGGACATTAAAGTCATTCATGTTTTTTTCAGTCAAGGTGACTCAGTGGGCAGCACTGTGACTTCAAGCCTCTAGGGTTGTGGGCAGGGTTCGATTTCTTTCCCTATATATGTGGAGTTTGTATGGTTTTGTCCCAAAGACATGCAAGTGAATTGCTGCCCATGAGCCATGGGTCCCAGCAAAGGCTATGGTGTGGAGACCCTGTGTATCCTCTATGCATATAGAAAATCTTTTCATTTCATGAATTGTTGCATTGAAAGTCACTGAAAGCAAACACATTTAGAAAATGTATGAAAATGTAAGAATCATAAAAGAGACCTTGGCTTTAACTGTAATATTAGCCATTGTGAATACGCTTGCCTTCCTGGTGACAGTAATTTTAATGATTGTGATTAATCCAGAAGAAGGCGATTGCTCCATTAAGCGTACTTTACAAGCTGGTGAATCTCAGAGTAGGAAATTTTATTTATTCTGTTTGAGTTTGTGACTTTGGAATAAAAATAACAAATGGACAGAGATGTGTTTGTTTCATTTGTAATCCTGAAAAAATTGGTGAGATTCTGGGTACATGTTGGGGGGGGAGAAAGTTTTTTGAGTTAATAAAAAAGATTTTTGCTTCAGCACAAAACATGTTATGGTCAGAACTGAAGGGCATGCATCAGTCATAGAGCACCTCGCCTACTGTAATGCAGGATAGAGTAAGCAAGCATCCTTTCTGAATCAGATGCTGGAACATAAAACAGCACGAAAGAAAAGCTGGATTGCGCCAAACATCGATTCTTCAAGTAAACTGAAACTGCGAAGCCCATTTATGTTTCAACCTTACAATGACCTAAGTAGTGGTACAAAGGGCTGGTTAAATACAGCAAAAAGGCACACATCCAGGAAAGGCTGAGCCATGAGCCCTGACCTTAGTCTGACCACAAACCTGTTGAACAGCTTCAGAAGAAATGACAGTAGTTGAATCATATTTTCACATTTCATTTTTCAATCATTTTTAGATGAAAATACATGAGTTTTTTTTTTACTTTGCCTTGAATTTTGGGTTGCTTGTTAAATTTTAAAGGTATGTAAACTGTCTATGTGCACTAAACTTCACACATTCCAGTCTGTATCTGGTGTTAAATGTATAATGTCTTATTTTAATATACAAGTCTGAACAAGAGCAATTAAATACTTTTTCAGTTAGTGCACAAAAAAGAAAGTGTCTGTGGTGACAGACCAGTCCCAAAGTCATAGGTATCTATACCTATGGACATAGATCTATACCATAGGACATAGAATCTATCTATTCCCTGTCTGGGGAATACAATTAGTCATAAATCTATCGCAAGCATTTTTATATGTAAATTACCAGACAGTCAAAGATGCAAGAAAATCATTCAAAAAAAGAGAGACCCATCTTAACAGACCTGATAAACTTCAACATGTAAAATACCCAGACCACCGCAGATAGAATAGTTACAGTGCGGGTGTTTTACAGACCTTGACCTGAAGTAAATCAGCAAAACTAAGTTAGCCTATCTGCACGGCTAAATGTGTATGTACCGTCTCTCGTAGGACGTGACAATATGTAACCTGTGATGCCCCCAGACTCCCACCATGTGACCTCTGCTGTAGACTTACTGGATAAGAGGCGATGACATCTGATAGCCTTTGCCATTTATTCAATATAAGATATAAAGTTGGGTATTAATATTTCATTATGCACTGAAAAATAACCTGGTTTAATTATAGCTTTGTGAGGCATATGGCTTTTCAACTTATGATAAAACATAAGTCATAAAACAAGAGTTTTAGTGTCCAATGTTTAAAAAGTACTAAAATTAGACAGAATTATTTCAACTTCGTTGATACTTTTACTTAGAAATACCAATCAGTATTCTTAGCACAACACTGGAATTATTTAACTAGTAATAACTAAATCAAAACAAGAAACTAAACACATTAAGACTGAAGCAAAGTTTCCTTTATTTTACATTTCTTAGCAAAATTGTTTATGTAATACACTTTTACAGTCGACATGAGTGAGAAAATCTAGGAAATGGGATCACATCTTTAATATTGTTCACTCCTAGAACACACTGCAAGTAGCGTTCAAAACCCATTCCAAACCCACCGTGAGGAACTGAGCCAAACTGTCTCAATTCCAAGTACCTGGGAAGAAAAACAGCACAAGGGCATTCATTAAAAAAGGACAACGAATGCAAAATCTTGGGCCAATTTTATCGATCATTCTTACCACTGATATGGCTCCTCCATGTCAGCACTGCAGAATAACAAAAGTTATTATTGTAGCAAAGAAAAGTTGAAGTCGTAAAGAAATACAGAAAAAAGTATAAAGAACCGAGCATCTCTGCTAGGAGGCTTACTTTGCTAGCCGTGTCCTCAGGAGCTCCTCGCGCTCCTCTCGGAGAGTGCCCCCGCACAGCTCCCCCACCCCCGGCACCAGCAGGTCGACAGCGGCCACCTGGACGGTCACGCCAGAAAACAGAGCGGAGGAAACGAAAATAAAAGCAGCTTAACCGAGAGCACAAGAAGCGCGTGGTCTGACAAAACGAAGAAGTAACGCAGGATAAACTACCTGCATTGAAACTAAAGCAGCTCAGAACAGGGTGTACCAACACGAAGCTTCCAGTGAAGGGAAACTCACCCTGCCTGAAATAACTACAGTGTAACGGTACGTACCCCACCTTCTGCATAAATCTACAAAAGTTAATTTGCATTGGAACTGGAACTGATTTGTGAGGCCTACTTTTAGAGGACAGGTGGCTAGGAAAAAAACTTGTAAACGCCTTATTTTATTAAAGGCTGCTCGGTTTGTCATTGTCATTGTGGGGTCCCTTACAGTGTGGCAGGGATCGTCATTGTTATCCCGGGCGTAGAAAGGCTTCAGCTCATAGGGGTAGTTGATGACGAACACTGGGACGTCACCACAGTGCTTGACCAGGTAGTGCTCGTGCTCTTTTTGCAAATCGCAGCCCCACTGTGAGAGACATAGACCGAGGGACACAGACCGAGAGACAGTTCAGCAAACAAGACTTTAATACACAAACCCAAAACACGCCTATCTTTTTTTTTTATTACAATGAAATGAAACAGATTAATTTCCAGTATAACTGATTTTTTTTCTGTAACATTATGATACCAAAAACAGCCATCAACAGAAGCAATTGCAATACCTGCCTCTGTTTTGAAAACAAAGTTCTCAGAACTACGGTTCAGCAGGTCTATGGCTTCACTGTAAGTGATCCTAAAACAGAAACAAATAGTACAAGGCAACTAAGGTACTGCATCATCAAAAGCTATGCGGTACAAAAAAGCATTATTACAGAATGCCATAAATGATACTATGTACTTACACCTTGAATTTATTCTTCAGCATGACATGTAGACTGTCCTACAGAGGGAAAACAAAATGTTACAAATAAAATATGATATTGACAGAACAAACAAAGTATCCGGCTAAATTTCCTTACCCAATGTCCAGGTGCAACATACTTGTGAAACAGGTGTACATCATCTGCACATTTATCAAGAACTCTCTCTGTGGTCGATTTAAACAGATTCTCCATAACCTGTAATGGGAGTAAACAAATAATAAAATTTTGGAAATGATATTTCTTGCAGGGTACACCTACTGTTTGAAATTAAATACTATCATGGGATAAGACTCAAAACTAATGCATATCACTTCTGCCTTGCCCAGTCACATAAAAGAAAGAATATTATCTAAGTCTGAAGGGCCAAAAATGTTTAATAAGACTAATTCCTCTGCAAATGCCAAATACTCGGTTTATTCTCAAAACACAAACAAGCCAAGCCCAAACAGGCTTGCCATTAGTATATTAAAGGAAGTCCTGGAGTTGAACAATGGACCATTTGGATACGTCTTGTTCCCAGTCATGTAGTTTTCACTGGCAGCACACTGCAGTTTGCACTCCAGCTAAGCTATCAAATTATTCTTGTTCGAGACCCAATAAATAATGCAAACTACTCTAAGCCAAGTACTGGGAACCTATTTTTAAGCTCACTACATAAACTTCATTTGTATTTGCTCAGGAATTTGGGCAAAATATATTCACTATATCTATTCCACTGGAATCTTTATCAAGACAATATATTATTAACTGCTTATGTGCTACAGTAAAAGCAAATTCTGTTTCACACTCGAGAAGCATGTACAAATAAAATCTGAATTCCTTGATAAAACAAATATAAATTAGAAAGAAAAACAGCCCTACATTTGTTTAATGTGATTTGTGGTTCTGAATTCATTTAATCAATCCTAGGCAACTAATGCAGTTCCCATATGAAACAAACAAGAAGCAAACAGACTGACTGCAACAGAGCTGAAATCGACTGCCGCAAAAAGGTCAAATTAGCATGCAGTTTGCTTGGCCCACTGAAGCCCTTAAAATTGGACCATTGTAACCTTAGGAAAGCAAAGGGCAGAACATCTGCACTAAAAAGTACACGTTTTACCATCATGATGTCCTCCAGCGACTCCGTGAAAGCGATCTCAGCTTCCACCATGTAAAACTCCGTCAGGTGGTGTCTGCTTTGAGAGTTTTCTGCTCGGAAAGTCGGGCCGAACGTGTAAACACGTGAAAAAGCCCTTAAAAGGAAAAAAACATACATCCACATTAATATTTATGGTCAGTCTCACAACAGCCACTCTCTGTGGGCATTTAATTCTTCCTGAAATGAAGCTGATTTCCCCGTAAGAATGGATCTTTAGTTCCAGCTCTGTCACCCCTTTAACGTTCTGTTCTTCACACTGAGGGGGTGACACTGTCCGGGGAAAGCATCAGGCCAGTGGAATTGTTAAACCACTCTATCCATCTCTCTCATATGTGAAGATATTAACTGAGGCATCGAGTTCCTCAGTTTTTAACCTTAGCAGGTCCTGACATCTTCCGTGATCCCGGCTGCAGGACATTTTTGTCCCGATAAATGTCTGCAGCAGATTTTACTTCTCATGATCCCCTCTGTCATCATCCATATCCCAAGTCACATGGCTCTGTAGGAACTTGACAGCGCTGTTATTAATTGAGCAGGATAAACCGCTGAGTCTCATCAGATACAGAGGGAAACACGTCTTCAAATGTTTACTTCTGCTTCAGCGAAATCTTGTCTAAAAGCCTGTAAAATTAGGTACTGCTCTCAATGTTGGTGTCAATTTCAGGGTAAAAATTAAATGAATAACTGACTCTGCTACTTCCCTTTCAATAACATTCAGCAAAATGTGCAGGACCACAGCTAATCTTACCCATCCAATCCTGTCTGCTTCGGGACCACAGCTAATCTTACCCATCCAATCCTGTCTGCTTCGGGACCACAGCTAATCTTACCCATCCAATCCTGTCTGCTTCAACCACCTATGCCATTACACTGACATTTTAATGTGCCAACATGATCTCTTTGTGTAGTTAGTAGAAAATTTGTATCAAGGAATTAAATGAAAATGTTTACAACCTGAAATAAATAAACTTTCTATGCAATTCATGCATTTATATAAATAATATATAATAATATATATGTAATATGTAATTTTTAATTTTCATTAAAAAGTCTTAATTAAAAAACTGATTCAACAAACTGTTTAGGGTATGCTGAATGAAAAAAGTAAAGTCACCCATTCATATTCCTGAGGGGCAGGGGCAGAAAATCCCAGCGAATGTGAAAATTCACAAATAATACTTGGACCTGTCATTAAAAATGCAAAATAAACAGCACAGAAATGTTTAAAAGATACAGCAAGAACTGTGAGTTTCCTCAGTCACAGAGGCGGCTAACACTTGACACTAGTGCTGGGCGATAAAATTATCTCGATTTTTTATCGATAAAAAATGAGGATGATCACAATGATACACACATAAAACTCGATCAACCAAGTTTGCTCCGTTTTAGAGAATGCGCTGAGACAGACAACTCGATGGCCTATCGAGCAGAGGTATACTGAATGCCAGCACAACAGCCAATCACCGACGACGTTGTAATTTTGTAAAATTGGCTGCACGGTCTGTCTCAAGTCGTCTTGCTCTCGCGAGCATTTTGTATCATGTGACATGGTGACGTGTGGCGACGGACAAAAATATCTAACCATGATTTGGCATTTTTTTGAATAAGTGTTTTTGTTTGGTTTAGATACTTTTCTACCTCAGAATTTTAAAAAGTTTTTAAGAGACCAAGAATAGAGGAAGGTACTTCTTGCAGTCAGTTCTGTCCTGCTTCATTTTATGCTGCCGTATTTGCAATATTATACAGTTTTGCACATTGTTACATTATTATATGGTTTTGTTCATTTGAGCTATGTTTCTTTGAATACTTGATAATCAATAACCTTCTATAATTTTAAGGGAATTTTGTATGTAAACAGTAAAATTTCTTGGAAAATAAGTATTTGTTTACTAATATTGTTTATTTCAATGTATTCATTCTATTTGTCAGAATAAGATTATTTTTATTATTATTTTGATTATTACATGGAATAGCATTGTGAAACTGTAATATTGATAATTATCGATATCGGTCAATACAGGAAAAAAATATCGTGATAATTTTTTTTTGCCATATCGCCCAGCTCTACGTGACACTGATCGACAAGACAAACAAATATTGAATAACAGTAATATTTACAGTAGCTGTCGAAAGGCGTCTACAAAGGAGAGCGATCGTGTCACGTCACATGACCTGGTCACCTGACCTAAACAGAGTCAAAATGGCTTTGGAGGAGTTTGACCAGAGAGTGAAGGAAAAGCGGCCAATGAGAACTCAGCATATATGGGGCACCTCCTTCAGGACAGCTGGACAAGCATCCCAGGAGGCCACCTCATGAGACTGGTTTAAATAGGCAATTATTTGGGGGTCTATAACACATGATATTCATTTACAATTTCTAATTGGGTAATTCAACTTGGACCTCGACCAACTCACACCTCGACCAGCCTTCTGGACTAAATTAAGTCCATGTTCCAAGGTACAGCTGTACACACTATTCAGATTGACTGCTGACACCTATGGGCAGACTCCTGCAATTACACACAGATCTTGCAACATTCTTCTCTACTTAAGCTGCCCACCTATCCATACATACATCTGGCCTCATGCATTCATCACTGACGGCACTTCTGCCTCCCAGAATAACAAGCTGACTCACCCAGTCATGACCTCTAGATGAAGCTGTCCAGAAACAGTCAGGAAAGTCGGGACGGAGAAGAAGTGCAGCTGAGTTTCTTCCGGGTTTTTATCCTGACCTGAGGGCTAGAGGTCAGAGTTTATGTTACTAAATATCAAATACAATCAGTATTTGTGTTATAGGGAAGTCATGTGTACACAGCAGAACACATGAAGCAAGACCGGCTGTAATCGCCAGGAACGTATGAAAGCGACAAATGTACGTGGCCAGATCAAAATGCACAGGGGGAGTTTGTGTTGTGTTGTTAGAAACAGACCAATAAGGATATCAATAAATAAATGAACTTACTCACTTCAACCTTAAAGAGTTCACCAGCTCCTTCACAGTCATTTGAAGTGATGATTGGTGTATGAATATGCAAAAATCCATTCTCCTAAAAAAAAAAATACCTTGTGTTAAATAAGAAAGCATGTTAAACGGATGGATGGATCATAATAATCGCAGTACTTAAATAATACAAGAATACAGTTTTACATCATTACAATGTAACTCACAACTTAATTATGATTCAAGAGGTTTTGACAGAGTATAATAATCCATCCATTTTTGTAGCTGCTTAGCTAATTAGAATTACAGTAAACGGCAGTCTATTTCAGGAGAACAGTAGTCTATTTCAGGAGAACAACAGTCTATTTCAGGAGAACAGCAGTCTATTTCAGGAGTGCTAGGCAGAGCACATCATGGGTAGTTTAGCGATCAGAGACAAACTCCCAATTCACTAAAACAGGCAAATGCTGTTGGGATTGGGAAACACTGGCTAAGTAAGTAAGTAAGTAAGTGAACTTTATTGTCATTCACACCATACAACAGTCCAACAACGGATGTATAGCTGAACAAAATTGTGTATCTCCAGGCTCAATGTGCAGACATAAAAGGACAAGAGCACTTAGACAACATATGGATATTACATCAAAATTCCACTTTTTATGCAGAAGTAAGACTGTAAGACAGCATAAGGCAGCACAGGAGAGACACTAAATATACAAAACAATAGACATATGCAGAAATGTAGAACCAGTCAGTGCTGAATATGATGAAAAGAAAAAGAAAAATATTGCACATGATTTCACAGTGATTGTAAAATACTACCTCACATTTTACACAGTACCAACAGAATACAGCATTTCCACTGACACTGCTGATGGTGAATAGATCCTCACCTTAAAAAATGCCTGAACGGCAGAGGTGGCCTCACTCCGTATCCTCAGCAAAGAGCTGAATGTGTTTGTTTTACAGCGCAAATGGGGAAACTGCCTGATGTACTCCATATCATGTCTTTCCTTCACTTTAAATGGAAAATCCTGAAAAAAGACAGTTCAATTCCTCACAAATATGTCAGATTTATTTTCGTGTAGGGCAATCATTTATGAATCCTGGGAAAACAGTTTCACCAAAATCTTCAACAGACTCCGTGAGTCTTTTATAAACACTGATAATCTCATCTTATTTCAGTATGTCTCAGAAATATATGCTATGAAATGTTCACATTGGTTCAGTACCTAAGTGTACCTAAGTGTTTAATTTTGTGATTATTTTAAGACAGGGTCATTTTCAGTTTTAATCATATATTTGGTGATACTGCAATTAAACAAAGTCTGCGTTAATCAGAACAATTTGTGAGTAAGGCTGTGTCTTATGTCATAATGTCCCCAACATAAGACAAATTAAACTTACCAAAGGATTACATTGCCCAACTACCTGGATCTGTCGTGCCTGCAGTTCAACATTCTGCTTTTTGTGAGAACTTCTTGTCAAACTTCCAGAGATTTGCACAGAACTTCCAAATGTAAGATTCCTCATTTTTAGAAAGACAAAAAATTTTATCTATGTACAAATTATCCAACAAGCAAGTGGTTAGATAAAAATTATGTACTGGCAATTTCATCCACAAAGCCACATCACAGTAAATTCCACATTCCACAGTCCATGCAATAAGATTCTAAAATTCATCATTGAATTACAATTTAGTACAATGATATTTTGCAATAAAAAGGAGGATAGGCCTAACTGAGTTTTTACAAGAAAAAATGGCAGTTTGACCAATTTGGAAGTACAGTACCACACCCTTTTCCTTATAGAAAGAAAAATTTCAGGGCTTGTTGAAAGATGACAGCCACGATGACCAGATACTGAGACTTCATCTTAAACTTTGGACTATTTTTTTTCCTAAATTCCAGATGTCACCCAACTTGTGGCTTTTATGAAATAACTGAAAAGCATAAGAATGTTTAAAGCAATGCATTTCCATATTTTGAGCATGCCCCATAGGTTTTCAACCCATTTGCTAATTCTCATAACTTGAGACATCTCAATAATCCCAAACTAATCATTCTGAAAAGGCGTACTTGTCATTCAGTTCTGGATCAGCGACCACTTGGAGACTCTTCTTTGTGCTGCCGTCATTGACATCAAGGAAGAGAACATTCTTCTGTGCTCGAACAGATCGGACCCAGCCCTTGGATGGGGTTAAGATAAACAGGCAGCAAATCTGCATATAAACCCTTTCTTTAACATTTAAATTGTTAATTTCCTTAATTTTATTATTTTAGATTTTACTTTAAATTAACGCAGGACCACAGGTGTCAGAGGGGCGTGGATATCCTGGCTGATTCGAGGGGGTCCGCAATACAAAAAAGTGACATCACTGCCCTGCAAATTCTACCGTGGGGGACCCCACCCCCAAGCCAAGCTGACGTCAGGGAGCCCAGAATTTCCAGCTATGCCCCTGTTTATGACTGTCTACAAGAGAACCAAGAAACCCTATTGTAAAATAAGCAGGTAGATGTGTTATTCAAGCGATCACAGTAAAACACATTTATATTACATGCATTGCCTTTGTTTCAATATTTCAAATACTACGGGGCTTAGTGCACAGCCCAAAAGACACCCCCTCCCCAGTCAGTTCTAATTGATGCATGCATTTTAGCTCCATCCAGAATTTTATAGTCCAACAAATTAATGCATATCTCTTCATTAAAATATTTTTTTCAGGTAGAATTAAAAAGCTTTGATCACACTGTTCTTTTCATAAAAGCTTTAACTATATAAAGTGATTAAAGGCCTGCCTCTTTTCCTTAATAGTTTATTAGTATGTTGTACCGGCTGCCAACTCCAGCTTGTGAACCAATTAGTACCATAACAGAATATTTACTTATCATGTTAAATAACGTGTACTATAACACAATTATACATCAACAAAAACAATAAATGACATGCACTACCTGTATTTTTACATGTTCTCCGACTTCATCTCCAGAAAGCGCTTCGCAGATTCTCAGTTTCCTAAACGCTGTATGACAGCAATATTTGAAGTTGAAGACTATTGAGCCAGGGACACATGACCTTCGCCGGAGAATATTTACAGACCGAACTTGTAACATCGTTTATACTTGCTAGCCACTTTGTTGTTTGATAGATATTATTTCAAGTGCAATAAAAAAAAATATATTAGTCTCTAGCACTGGCTATCGTACAAATAAAAAATCTTGAGTTGATCCATCTGTAAACTGATCACGCGTTACCTACTGCGCGAAAGCCGTACACTTCCTGTTTGACATATACCGTAATACACTGTGTTGAAGGACACCACTATTAAACATAGGAAAGAAATAGGAAACTTTCCTACGATCAGTATCCTCAAAAACCCTACATCCTGTTTTCATTGGCTGATTTCATGTAAAGTATGGACAGTGCCTCATTTTACAAACACTCGAATCAATGTGATTTACTTTATTTTCGCCATATAGTTGATTTTCTCTTGGAAAGTATTGAGCTTATAGGTACAACGCATGTCCTATACATTTGACCATTGATTCTCCTATTTAAGTTTTCCCATCATCCACAGTTTTCTCCTACGGATGAGCGTAAAGACACATACTGTACTTCATTCTTCTGCTTCTTGGAGTTATGGGTGGTCGGCAACCAGCTTACAGGTGTATTACCGCCATCTACTGGACCCGAGTCACGACTTTTTTTAAACTGAAGAAGGCACACTGGTCTTCTACTTTTAAATTGGTAACATTATTCAAAATCTGCTCGGAAAATACGCATCAGGTTCCCTAATTGCGTTTGGATTAGATAAAAAGAAAGTGCAAACCAGGTAGAAGGAAGTGTTGTATTGCAAAGCTGTGTGACAGCTGAATGCATCGTTGAAGGTGAAATCTGCCTTCATTCAGTGACTGATTAATTCACAAGAACTCCAGCCACCTTTAAGCAAACCCAATACTTTTACTTGTATATCCTGGTAAATTTATATCACTCTTTTTTCCACTGCATCTTCTGACAGTGCATTCTTCGTCTAAGCATAGGGATCGCAAGAGTAAAAAAAAAGGGGGGGTTTTTGAGCTGGGTTGCCAACTCTCACGAGTCTGCCGTAGCATTCACGCATGAAATCTTACGGTAAAGATATATTTTTTCATTATAAACCTAAAATTAGCTATACCAAAAACCTTGGACTTTTGCAATCAGTAGAGACTATTTACAAGGTAATAAAACTGTTACGTGCACGCTTGTCTTGCGGCGGTTTACGCTGATTGGCCCATTTTCGTATCATGGTCGATTCCTGTGATTGGACAACAGGTCCTCTCAAAAATTTAAAACACACTAACCCGGAAGCAGTTTTTAGTTTTACTGCATTTGCAAAAAGTTGTGTTATTTTAGTTATCAAAATAATCTCAAACATCGGGGTGTCCTGTTTTTCCTTTCATTTCTTAGTATTTTTCTGGTTAAAATGACTTTTTTAAAATTGACTTTTCTAAAATGCTATATTTTGTCACTTCAAGATTCGTGTGTTTCGTACCCATGTTGTCAAAACTGTGCATCCAAATTACACAGAAACCAGACGGAGCAAAGGTAAGTAAAGCTATGAATGTAGTAACATTTGTAAACGTTTATTTCTCATTTGTTTTTGTATTTTGTCTGAAAGTCCGCCTTTATTACTATGGCTTAGTTGTTAATGGCAAACACGTGTCTTGTAGGTTCAGATTTATTCAAAACTGAATTCATTGTTGTAATTAGTTTATTTTATGTATTACACTAATGTACATAGAATATTTTAGCACGTGGACTACAATGATGTATATTTACTGTGATGAATATCTTCATTCTCTTTTTTTTTTTTTGTTATAACAGATACAGATGCCCAAAATGTGGATTTGCATGTGAGATCAAAAATGTCAGTCACAGATATAAGTTATCACTTAAAGTTGCAAGAGACTGTGACATATTTGGATTGACTCTTTTTGGTAGCTGTTTAAATCCTCACTTTGGTGCTTCTGCAGTTTGTCTGCAAAGGTAAAGCTGTATTCTCAACTCATTTACAATACATCCATCTATCTTCCATCTGCCGTACAGGGTTGTGTCGATGGGGGGGGGGGGGGGGCACAGGGCATAAGGCAGGGTTGCACCGTGGATGGGACGCCATTATGCTATTGAAAGATGCACACTTGCACACTATGGGACACAACACCAGGGGTGGGAACTGAAAGAAAGAAAGGTATTGGAGGATAATGTTAATAGGTTTTTTGTGTCTGTAGACTCGTGGAGGAATCAAAGGCAGAATGTTCACAAACTGATGTGCAACAATTACTTACCAAGGCAGTGGATGACTGCTTTGTGGGAAGGTGCTTTTTATTTGGCATAAAGGTACAAGTGCTTAAAATTGGTTACAAAGAATCTGTATCTGCACATCTTTATTTTATATTAAGTACAATTGTAAATGTTCTTTCTCCAAACAGATGCCTGACTTTGACGTAGATGGATCCACTTCTACTAGTAATAGCTTTTCTTCCTCATTGAAAAGAATAAAGATCTCTGGAAGCTTCATTGCCAGCCGAATGATTTTGCCAAATTCAGCTGTTATCAGTTGCCCTGTTGTAACCTATTTTAAGAAGCTTCTTCAGGCAGCTCACCTTTCAGAATTCAGTGTCTCACAGCAACCTAGGAAATTATTAGATACCCAACAACATGATAATAGTACAATCCTTAATAGCTGTGAATGTACTTTGGCCTCACATGGAGGATCACACTCACAGCGCACCAGTGGAACCCACGATGACCCAGGATATTTCCAGCAGTCACTTGGAATAATAACATTTTTTACAGAACGTTCTTACTCTGAGCCAAATGGAAGTGCTGTGGTTGATTCACCTAAACAAAGAACAGAAGAGCAATCCAGCACTGAAATGCCTAATCCATTTTGTTCTTGCTTCTGTTCCTCAGACACGCAGGGGAAATGTACACGTAAAGAGACATTATGCAACTGTAACTTTGCAGTTTTGAAAGAGGATGGTAATGTATCAGTTTTTTTATGGGAGGATAAATCTTTCTCAGATGTCTCGGGTGAATTTATTTCTAAAGCAGGCAGGAGTTCAGAAGCATTGACTGAAAACAATGTCTGTGCTTTAGACAAAGAAGATGCTAAGCTAACGAGTACAATTCATGTTTGTGAATTGCATGTGCCAGCAGTGTCTCACAATGAAAATCCTTCAGATTACTCATGTAATTCGAAATGTGATGTTTTGTCCAACAGTAAAGAGAATATAAGTAAAGAGTCTATTGATAAAGTGAAGTCACTAATTCAGCATTCATCACTAACCCAAGAGAGGAACAAAAATGAGTTGACAAGCATGCCAAATGCTCAGGCAGAGAAGAGTGTTGCACATCTTAGTTACTGGGATACATTTGAGAGTGAATATATAAGTAATGTTAAAGATTACACTGACAAGTCCACTAATATGGATGACAGAGCAAAAAGACAGACCAATTATTTTACTAGTAATTGCTCAATTCAAAAAGAACCAGACTGTAACAATTTCACTATCTGTGACTGGAAATGCAAAACAGAAGTGAGTCAACAAAGAAGCATCTCTTGGCTTGAAGACGTTCCTAATTTCTCACTTGACCTGTTTACTGGCTATGAAGAGAGCCACGTTCATGGAGGGGAACAAAGCAAAGGGGAAAGCTGCAGGAATTGCCTATTTGTGAAACACAGCTGTAATGGAACTTTAAGGGAAAATCCAATGAAAATGAAACACAACTGCAATTCGAGTGTATCTGAGCCAGACTTATCAAACTCACTCGAGTTTGTTCCTTTTTATCAATCAACCCCTATTTCAAAGAATCCTCAATTTCCAAAGACTATTCAGTATAAGAACAAAAACCAGGTGCAAAGAGACCATCTATTGACCAAATTCCACCTGAAGAGGCATTATGATGATTGTAAAACACAGGACACAGATAAACTTCTAAGTACACCGACAAGTGACTCTCAGAATCTCCTTCCCCCCTCCATGCACAAGATTCCACATTTGTCTGTACATGAGAGGTTAATGGGAGGCATAAAATGTGCATGTAGCCATGAGAATGGCTACACAAGAGTGCATCTGAGAAATCTGGATGGGAATTATCAAGGAAAATCCGACCCTGCTCACAAAAAGATGAATAAGACTGAAGCAAAATCAAACCATTCACATTCTCTCTCAAGGTCAGAGAAGTGGGATTGTTCAGAGACTGTAAATGTGAAAAGATCCCATGAATGCACCAATCTTAAGCATACTCCATATACTGCTGATATTTCCAGCTTCACTGCTGAGAATAGCAGTATGTTATGTAACTGGTCTGCAGACCTTTTTGCTGACTGATGTAAAATTTGCTTACCCTGTGAAACAATACATTAGGCCATAATGGTATGCTTGTAAGCTATCATGTAAAGTACATCATAATGTGCCTCTTTTGCCAGTAATATGCTGCGTGATGTTTGTAAGAACTCATTTTTACATAGTGATCATATTATTTAAAATGGTTCCAATTCCCTACTAATTTATAATTTTACTAGGTAATGCACAAGGATTTTTTAAAAACTTACATTTTCTTACTTATAAAGAAAAAGATTATAGATTATTTGAATGTTGATTGGCTAAATATGTAAATTAAGTGTTTGAGTTAATACATTTTCAGCTGACCTGAGAACATTTACATATTATTACTCGTATCAGTTAATACACACTTGACCCATAGATTTGTTCTCAATTTCTAAGCAATTAGACTATCTGCTGCACTTGGTGAACTGACAGCAAAATTGGAGCTTCTTCGGTCCTGCTAGTGTGAGTACTGTCATTCTTTGTGGATGTTATTTTTGCTCTACATGTAGAGAAATCTCTTGTGTACGTACTTATGTTTTATATTGAAAGATGATAAAATCTACCTTCTTCGATTTAACTATGGTGTGCGAGTATCTGATTGAAAGAATCCTTTCCATATTTAAGTAAAATATCTATATAACCTCATGAGGGAAAATCTTTTACATTTACAGTAAAAGGCTGAAGCTAATTTGGTGACCCTCCATCATGTTTTTGTAACTACAATTATCAAAATTATTGCATTTCCTCTCACATTAATTTTACTCCTTTGTTGTGTGCTGTGCATAACATAAAATTTCAACTATATTCAGTTGTTATGCAAATCCAAATCTATTTCACATTTTGCAGACACATTGTATGGGTGATGATCTGGGGGTGTTCCACAAAGCAGGATTTCTTTCTTAGCCGGATAACATGTTGGTTGTAAGGTAGCCTGGGCTAAATGGACTTTGTTCACTTACTTTTATCTCAGAGCACCTTAAATTCGACAAGTTATCCAGCTAAGCAAGAAGCCCTGCTTAATCAGACACCCTCTGGAATTGGTGAAATTTTTAGAGAAATCACATTAAAATAGAAGCAGTGTAGCTTAGTGGAAAGTTTCCATGGAAATGTTAACATGGGAATTTTGGGGTTTTATAATGCACTGCGAACTGGTGGTCATTTTGTAGAGCGCAATTTTGTAGCTATTTTTGGTTTTTATTTTCTACCTCTTACATTTGTACATATTTGAGTCTCATCTAATGAGGTGAAAGGCCAAGCTATAAATCCATCTTTTTGTTTTAAAAAAATAAAATTAAACTAAAATTGAATACACAGTGGGACCCCTGTATCTGCAGTTTCAGTTTACCGCAGTGCAAAATAAAAATCGGAAAATTCCAGAAATAGTTTGTAATTTTCAGCCTGTGTGCTGAGCTAGTGCAGGCTGAGACATGGTGAAATCCACCAGCCCAGTCGCACCCAGTAAACACCTAACTCCCATTGTCTCCATACCCAAACTTTCCCCACAGACTCCTACTTTATAATCAATAGCAATCATCAGTAAATTACCATATGCTACATTTTGAGTATTTGTTTTTTGGTAATCCAACCCACTATTATGACAGACTGTTTGTAATTATTAGTAACAGAGTGCATTGTAGAATTTTAAACTGCTTGTTTTAATTGTTCTCTCCTCCAAGCATGAATGAAATCCCATACAGACCATATCATGTTGGTCTGGCTAATAAAGAATAATTGACATAATTGTTATGTTTCCCTATTTGACAGTTATTAGACTAGATGGGCGTCATTCTGTCTCATTTCCTTGGCTCCTCAGCCGTTCTTCAGAGTCTGTAAAAAAAAAAAAAAAAAAGTATGCACTGTTTTTCCAGCCTTTCATATCTATTACATTAAAACAGTTTCTCGGTCACTACACTCCTGGAATGTAACTAAAGCTCCTGCTTAGCTTTGGACAACAGATTCACTCAAACTGCCTTTCAGCACCATTCAAGTCTTTAATATTAATATTTAATATTGAAGTCCCTTCTTTCAGCTATGACAATTAATATTAATAATTAACACTGAAATCTCTTCTTTCAGCTATGAGAATTGAACTAGAAAGATTTCACTCAAAAGCAAAATAATACATGAAAGAAAACTTAGATGTTATATGCAGTATATCTACAGACAGGCACACAGGTAGATTTACAAAATAAATTGAGGATGCTACCACATTGCCTTTTCATTTCTTAAACAATCATTTCTTCAACTAATATGGCACCAACAATAAATCCATCAGTATTTCTTCAACTAACCCTTCCTTTAGTGGATTTTCAGCTCTCATTTCAGTAACAGCAAAGGCCCCCTATTGATCTTTGTGAAAAGTACACTTGTAAGTACCCTTTCTTCTACAGATAACAGAACTCAAGTATGACAGTCAGTAATTATTTGAACGCATTCCACAGCTGTGTCCCTAAAGAGAAGTATTTGAAGCTTGTCTATACATTTTTTGTTGAATAAAGTCCTGAAAAGATATTTATTTTATGTCTACTCAGGTTTGAAAAACAAAATATATATGCTTATGCTGTGAAGTTAAATCAGCGCCTGCTGTATTTCATCTTCTACCTCCTCATATATAATAAATTTAAATTTCTGTGATTTTGAGGCACATTTGTGGTCATTCTGGCGCCATCTATGACCAAATCCCCCTCTTGACAGGGTCAACAGGTTTTTGGCGAAAATACCTTGGTACGCAATTCCAGCTGTACCAATGACCCTTGTAAAAAGTCTGCTTGCTGCAATTCGTAGGGTGTGTTCAGTAAGGCTTTCTTTTGTGCAGGTCTTTCAAAGAGCTTGTTGACACGATGCTGTCTGAGATTCCCATAAACTGTGCAGTTATGAAACCTGATCTTTGACTTCTTTGACTGTGTGTGGCGGCAAGAAACACAAACATCTTCTTCTTGGCAAATCTGCAACTTATTCCAGACTCTTAATCTTTGTCATGATTGCCCCGTCTGTGTTTATCAGTATTTTCAACTGTATTTTGTACCATTGCCTAATCTGTCTAGATCAACTGTCACCTGGTTTAAATTGAGACGTCTTTGATGACAAAAGGAATTTATGTGAATACAACCTTATATACAGTATATTATCCAGAAACTCAAAACTCAGTTCCTGGAGACTAATAAAATTAACTAATTATTCAGTTAACTATACATGAGGCCTATAAATATGTTTATATTAAACTCCGGAATGTGCACTTTAATCATGTCTGAATTGTTTGATTTGAAATTTTAAACTGTGGAGAAGGGGGGTAAATCAAGGAAAAATGTGTCTTTGCCCCAAACATCATCGAGGGCACTACATAAAATAAACTATTCTTATTAAATATTCTTTTAATAAGTAAAAAATACAGTAAACACCCCGTAACATGCAGTTAGGAATTGAATGCAGTGACAGGAAAATATATGTTGCTAATTTACGTTTCTGAAATAGATTAATGAATATTTCTGCTTTATTGGATAACTCTAATAAGTCTTCAAGGTCAAGGCCAGTGCACATTAGACAAAACCACTGCGCAGCCCAGCTAGGAATGTCACTCTCTAGCTGGGCTGTGAATCAGATACAGAAATGAAGGTCTCACATGTAGTATACAAACATACTGTGCAGCTCTAATATACTGTTGCACATAACTGCCAGACTGGTTATATTAAAATGGAAAAGAAATACACAAATAAAGGATTACAGTAATATTTAAAAAAGCCCTTTTTATACAGATCCTTCAAGAACTGACTGTTAAAGAATGCAAATAATACTGTCAATATAATACGTATGTACTTAAATTACAAAGCCTGAAAGAAATAATACTTTCAACTATAAAAAAGATGAACTAAGCCTTCATAACTTCATAATTACACAGGAAAAAAAATACTGAATAGCCAATACTAAATAAATTTTCCAGTTCAAAATATCCAGGACAAACATTAAAATGTGGAAAGAAATTTCATGCGTGCTGCATGCCTCGTAAACGTCCTTCGACGTATTGCAAAGCTGACTGATGTACTGGGTGGTGGATTTTACATAGATCAAACTGTCCAGTTTAAGATGGAGAAAGGGTAATGCTTCACATTGACTGCACCTTCATAATGCATTCATAGAACATTCAGTGCACCTTCATAATGCCTTCATAATGCATTCATAGAACATTCATAAGCAGCATGTAAGTATACCTTCCTACATCCTAACATACCTTAGCAGCTTAATATACATTAATAACAAACATAGTTGTATAATCGTAAAACACTTAATGTATATTTAAACTGTTATAGTTATGGTATGTTTGGATGTTAGGGTATACTAACATACTGCTTATGAATGTTCTTTGAATGCATTATGAAGGTGCAGCTGATGTAAAGTGTTACCGGAAAAAATCCTGTAGAAATATTTAAGTCAACGTTACTTCACAGATTTGACTTTATTGATCAGCAATGAAAGCAAAAGACTTGCGAAAAGCCTTCTTTGTCTCGGATTATCTGAAGATCAAAGTCCCTATATAAGTGGAAAAGAAAAATGTGTAAAATGCTGTGTAACCTAAAAACAGGCAAAACCTTTTGTTAATACTTATTTACACAAATCAGAGATTATTTGCAGATCCTTTACTTCCACTGCCACTAGAGTCAGTCTTCCTGCTTCTGAGATTTTATCCTTTACTCAAAGCCATAACCCTAACCCAGCAGACCTGTAGGGGGAGGAAGTGTCCAATAACCCATGAAAACATAAAAAAGGAGAAATCGCCTTTCACCAATTTACTCTTCAAATAACTAAGTGAAGATAATTAACTGCTTTGTATGAATTCAAGATAAATCAATAATATTACAGTGGCCATTACCAGTATGTTTTAATTGAATTTTGGTTCCTAATACACAAGTGTGTAAACTGATGAGGATGACATACTGTACCACTGAGATGTATGTTGTTACATTTGTATTCATACTATTAATACAACATAATAGCAATACTTAAGGCAACCCGTTCAGTGGTGTAAAGGAGCCTGATGGTTAAATGACCCTTTGGTCACATTATGACCATTTCACAATTCATGATAGAAACTAAAATAATGATTTTTAAAAATTGTACTGTTAACACAGATCATTGTTTAGTGGGCATGATATTTGCTTTCAACAGCTAAGTTAAGAAAAAAAAATGCTGAAACTTTATATCAAGAGCTTGATGTTAAGAATTTACGCATCATATTCCACGACTTAGGGGAAATGGGTCTGTTTAATAGTTCAGCAGAGAGCAGTGTGTGTACGTTCTGCTCCTGGAGAATGTAGGTACTGTGAGACATTCACTACCAACAGTACATTTATCCATAGTGAAAAATAGTGTTTCCCCTTTTTTGGTAGTGTCACTATATATATACATGCACACATGTATGTGTATATGCAGGCAGTTCGACTGATGTACGTAGTCCGTCCCACGAATCCTTATACACAACAAAAGTCTCCTACTGTAAGTCAGATTTACCTTCCCAAACCATTCAAGACAATTTAGAGCAAAAAAACACTTAAGCCAGAAAAATACTAGTAACACATTCTAAATAACACATTAAATAAATGAAAAGGTAAAGTGTACATTTACGTACACGCGGATGTCGCCTTTTTGCATTAGTGCTTCCGTAAACTATCTCCAGATATTTTTTGCCCAAGTCTGGATTTACTTAAAATTGGCTTTACGCAAGTCGAGAGCTGCCTATGTTTCTATGTGTGTGTACACACACACACACACATAAACACACACATACACACACGTACACATATATATGTGCTGTGCTTTTGCAGTTTCATCTAGAATTGAAGGCAAATCCATCCAAACCAAGTTACTTTATAAGTAGCAATTTAAAAATCTAAAAATCTATCAGGGACACAAAATGTGCGATCGCTCCACACCACCATGTTTCACTTAAGGGGAAAGGAAAGAATGAAGTTCATCACTGAAGTGAGACAGGCCACCTGCGTTTATGGCAGAATCGTACCGATTGCTAAACTGCTAACGAAAGCTACAGCAGTTCAAGTAGCTTATGCTTCTGCCCTCCCCAGGCATAACAGATACGTCGTTGTTAACCAGCACATTCTGTTTGGCCTCTTGTATCAGTTCACAGGCCAAGTCCAGGAACAGCTTCTCCACATTGTCTGCCTCTTTCGCTGACGTCTCCAGGTAATGCATGTTTTGCGCCTCTGCAAACTCTTCTGCTCTCTGTCGGGAAACTTCCCGTTTGTCAGCCAAGTCAATTTTATTCCCTGTAAAAACAAAACATATTCAGTTACAGGAGGTCAATTATTAAATTACTCAATTAAATTATTAAAGGAGGTTTATAAAAAGCTAGGATTCAACAAATGTATCAGTTAGCTAGTATTCAAGCTAGTTAGCAGGTTGTCCAAATTAAATTAGATCTCTGATCACACTTCTTTAAAAATTCCTTTGAGTTTATCAAACAAGCAGTGATGTTGCAATGCTATAACAATAGTGCTACAACACTGAGTAATATAGATTTGATAAAAGCATGTTTTAATGTAATTTGTGTTTTTTTTCTTTCCTATCCCTTTAAATGTTTTAGTGCCATAATTTTGCCTGCTGTGTCACCGAAGGTCAGTGATCAAGTGCAGTGCTGACAAACCCAGATTATCTACTATACTTCTCAGGTCATTTGGTAGGAAAAAAATGTACATACAGTTTGTTTGCATTAAATGTAGTTTATTGTCAGTTAATCTTTAATTGTCAGGAAATCTAAATACATGACAGCATATACTGATCCTCCAATATTTTAGTTTCATAGTACAGGGATTATTTAAAGGGATTTCTTTATGGTAATTATAATACTTTCAAGTCTTCACATGAACATCGGCTTACACAGAACAATTTTTGACATGAGATATTTTGTAGTATTAGAGATTGATAGTTTTCAATATCTATTAACTCTATCTGAAGCCAACAGACTGGCCATAGTAAGAGCATGATTTCAAAATATCTTCTATATGGTCTAACTATAATGAGCTGGTTCAGTACAGAAACCACTGATCAGTTATAACTTTAATTTCTGTATTAAAAGGCACATGTAGTGCTTCCTATGGAGGAGTATAAGACAAGTCTTACACACTACCAGCATTCCCAATAGCATGCATGTGCACAGACCAGACAGCAAAAACCAAGAGGTAGGAATCAAAAACAGAATTAAAGGCAACGGCTTTTGATGAAATGAGGCAGTAAATACACCAACAAAAATTAGTTATCTGGAATTTAAGTATTATAGCCGTTGTGCCAGTTTTTAATCACCATCCTGACCATACCCCAACGCTCATCCAGAAAACATGAAATTCTAAAGCTCTCCTAACCCTAACTGTCAATGTCCATAACCACCTATTACTCCAGAACCCTCTGAATGCATGCTGACACTATACAAGGCTAGCAGAACAGCCTAGTGCTACAGGCTATAGTGATTTCTGCATGTAATTTGAACTGCGCAAACATTCTGTACGTTCATATTACTTACAAACCATATCGCTTAAGTTCTGAACAGAGATAAAGAGATAGAGGCATGTTCCTGATACATATTTTAAAAAACATAACTCACCAACTAAGACTGTGATGACTTTGTTGTTGGCGTACTGCTCGATCTCCCTCAGCCACTCCGGAAGGCACCGGAAGGAGTCCTCACAGGTGATGTCATAAGTAAGGATAAGCGCATTGGCGCTGCGGTAGTAGCTTTGGGTGATGGATCTGAACCTCTCCTGTCCTGCCGTGTCCCAGATTTGCAACTGTGGAATGTTGTTTAAAAACGCCAGTGAAAACATGCAAAAATAGGAGCAAATTCACATTAACGCACATTCACATACACATTTAGTATTAACAAAAGACCCTCCTATCTGCAATTTCACGAGCGAATTAAAGTCAAAATAAGTGCTGCAGGCAGGAGAATTTAGCATTACAGCAAACTTAAACCAAATATGGAGGCTAGATGGCTACTGGTTGTTGCAGTAACTGCACCACAGATACATCATTCAGCATTTTAATTTCAGCATCACACAACTCATGTTCGCTAAGCAATTTTGGTGGCTCGAGAAAACATGCTCTCACCTTTACTTTCTGCCCTCTAATTTCCACTGTCTTAATCATGAAGTCTACGCCAATGGTTGCTCCTTGTCCAGGTGGAAAGAGACCCTGAAATGTGATACACCAGAATGACAGGGGGGTGGGGGAGATAGGAAAATACAATATTAGTGAATAACATCAATGCAGTGACAATAAAAATACATCTTAGCCCTGCCCCATCAGACTGATTTATCCCAATTTACATCGGTTATTCTACTGGGTCTCATACAGTACCAGTCTAAAGAATGGACACACCTACTGAAAATCATTTGTTGTTCAACAAGTGACCCTAAGCACACCTTGAGGTTATGTAAGTACTATATTATCTTCTGAGCAGGGAAAGACATGGGGTGCTGTGACAGATGACCTGGACCCCACAATCCCCCCCCAACCTAAACCCAATAGAGCTGGTTTGGGATGAGTTGTGTCAGAGAGTAAGAGTAAGGTAGCCAACTGGTGCCCAGAAACTTGTGGAAACTCTTTCAGGACCATTGGAGAAGCATTCCAGGTGGCTACATCTGGAAGCTGGTTGTGAGAAGAGATTGTAATGCTGTCATCAAAGCAAAAGGGGGTTGTTTTTAAGAAGCAAAAATTTGCGGTGTCGAACACTTCTATCATTCATTGCAATGTTTAGCAAGTGTTAATTCAATGCCTTAGGGTCTTACACCAGAATGTGAATAATATAGCTAAAACAGAGACAAATGCATTAAAAGCAGGTGGGTATAAACCAGGTAGTGAGTGAGCAAGTGCAATTCTCCTGTCTCTCATGGATAAATAATTGGTTTAATAATTTCATATTATTAAACCAAAATAACACCACCAGGGATACAACAAAAGAATGAATAAATGAATGATAGTGAATCAGTGATTCACTAGCTAATCTAGGTTTTAGGCCATATTCTGCTTTGAGAACCTGAGCAACTATGGACATTCATGTGTAAAAAAAAAAAGCTCAAATCAAAAATTGTCACCATGGAAATTACAGGGCAGCATCATTGACTAACATTCAATAATAAATGAGCTGAGTTCCACTCAAAAAATGAAAGGCTTTGGGGTTGTGGAGTGTTACCTCTTTGGTGGGGAAGGACGCTGATCGGAAATATTGCATTGTTTTATGCTTAAGAAATTAACAGCATACTATCACCGATTTCTGCGTGTGATGTCAGTGCACTCCGCCTCCACATATAACAGGGCCACAGTAGGTCTCTGTGTTCTTATTAGATGTGGTACCTCAGAGTTTACACATTTAAGCACTGGCCTTATCTCCAGATACAAGGAGGGTTCTGGAACCAGACTTCTTTGATCCGGGGGGGGTCTCTCCATGCCAATGTGGGCATAACTGAAGTCCCAGGCTGAGGGGTGCATATCTGGAGTTTTTTCCTCAGTGGACATGAAGGGTGACTCATTGAAAAGGAAAGGAAAGGAAAACTGACCGTGTGTATGTTCTAAACAGCAATTGGAAGTACCCGGCCTTCTTGGAGAACCTGGGTGATTTCCTTGAACGGGATTTCAATGCTCATGTGAGGAATCACAAAGAAAACTGTAGCGGTATGATTAGAAAGCCTGACCTCCAGACTCTAAACTCCAGAGGCATCATGTCCTTGGACGGATTGTCCATAACAAAAATCTATGTTTGAAATGATGCTCATATGTGAACACAGTACCAAAACTACTTCAGCCAAAGGTCAAATGTTTAACTCTGTAGTCAAGCTGATGTGTTTTGTACATGTGGGTGAACGGGGGGGGGCGGTGGGGGGCAGAGCTCTCGACCAATCACCTCTCAGTGATGAGTTGGGTTTGATGCACTGGGAAGAGGCTTCTGTGCATGATAAAATCAACTCGCGCCTCCAGAAAAACTTCTCCTGTGCGCTGAGTGACATCAGGGAAATGCAGTCTGAATGGACTATGTTCAATGTGAGAATCACTGCAGCGGCTACAAATAGCTGTGGTCAGAAGGCAGTCGATACTTGTCACAGTAGTAACTGTAGGACGCTTTGGTGAACACCTATGGTGAGGGATGCTGTCAAGCTGAAGCAGAATGCTTGCATCACGGTCATCAAGGCAGTTGAAAGGTCCAATCAGAAAGATGACAGGGAAAGCTGCTGGGGAGATGAAAGCTTGTGCATGACAGGAGTCTGCAATGGTCATGTAGAGACTCTTGGTTGTCAGCTGGAGAAATGCTGACCAATGCTGGAGATATTCCCAAGCAGTGGAAAGAACACTTTGAAGAACACCCTAAACCAGTGTGGAAACTTTCACTGCAGGTGAAGTCACTATGGTTGTCCGTGGCCTGAGTAGTGGAAAAGCTGTAGAGGTAGATGAAATACATCCAGTGATGTTGAAAGCACTGGATGTTGTAATGGTTGACACGCCCCTTCATTGTTTCACAGAATGTGGGTGAAAGTAGCTCTGGACTGGCAAACAGGTGTGGCAGTCCCTGTGCTTAGCCAGAGTACTTTTAATATAAGGGGATTATACTTCTCAGACATTTCAGGGTACTGCAGTAGAAAATTCTGGAGGAACAATGACGATTCTGCCCTGGCTGTGGAACAGTTGGACCAACCTTTTCCACTCGCATAGCAGTGTGACGATTCATGGGAATACGCCAGCAGTCTAAATGTGCTTCGAGGAGAAGGCATATGACTGCTTGCACTGTCACATGCTAGGGGGGGCATTTGTTTCAGAAATATGGGGCATCCAGGACACCACTTCATGGTACTTAGTCTGTGTATGAGTGCAGTAAGAATTGTATCTAAACCATAGCAGAAATAATTACGCTGTACAGAGTGGATGCTAGCCTCAGGGTGGAGTATGTCTTGTTGCCACTTCTGCTTGATTTCCATGGACAGGATATCGAGTCACAGTCATGACTGGAAGGGCATCCAGTATCGGAGGCTGGAAGTGACAACGTTGCAGACGATTTTGTGCTTTTGACCTCATCCAGCACACCTTCCCTACTCCTTCCACATCCCCAACCGCTACAATCTCTAACCCCCCGACACACTCTCCCCGCCTCTCCGAAAAAATCTTTATTAAGAGACCAATTTTGTGTGACTTGTCTAAATGTAATCAGGGTCACCAGATCTGTGCCAGTGGCTGTTCTTTCATGTGACACCACTGTGACACAATTTTGGTGATATTTGTCTCAGAATGAAATAGGTCCCAGATCACCTATATGATGCTCCTGGCAAAAAGATCCATCAAATACTTTTAGGAGTTACTGTTTTCAAAAGACCAAGTGTCATCAACAGTCACCCTTTCCTGCTGTCTCAATTTTAGTACAGTTTGTCTCAAAATCAGTCCTATCTTCACCCATACAATATGTCTGCAAAGTTCAAAAAAAGTTCTGCCAAATTCTTTAAATATCTCATCAAAGAGAGAAGTGTCTGTTTCAGTGGCAGCAAACCAATCCTAAAACCATATGTATACCCGATCGTGGGAATACAATAATATTTAAACACTGAAAATTTAAAAATATTAATGGAACTGCTATTACTATTTTTCATAACAGTAAATCACGTACACTTAATGTTATCACAGAACATGTGATTCATGATGTGGTGAGTCCATGTTAGCAGGACGGGCGTTTCATTAGTTTGGTGAAAAGGACTTTTTCCCTCTGGTCTTCCATAAGTTCCATCTATTTTGAAAACACTGTATCCATCCATCCGTCCATCCAACTCCAAGTCAGGATTGCAAGAGGGCCTGAAGCCTTCCCTGCACGGCACAGATGGCACTCCATCCCAGAGCAAACACGCACACACAGTGACACAGTCACACACTGCAGGCAATTCCCAACCATTAAGATGTAGAGTATCAGTGCTACCCAAAGAGCCCCCAGGCTGCCAAATATTAAAATATTCAATAACTCAAAACAAAATCTGGTAACAAATGGGCCGGTGTGCTTCAGCAAGGATAATATACATCTTTAAATTTTGCTGGGTTTCAGAAGTGAAATGTGGTCAGATGCGGTTGGGATCCCAAAAAAATAACAATAATACTGAGAAATCTCATCAAATCGAGCCACATATCCAGCTTACAGCTTAGCCAGTGCAGCGCAGAGGAAAGCCCAGAGCCCATCACATGAAATACGAGGCACAGGAATGGGAACAGCCTGGATGGGAAGCTAGGCCATCACAAGGTATGTGCATGCACACACAGAGGCAGACACACACGCAGACACCCATAGACGCAGACGCACAAAAATACACACATGCAGATACACCCAGACACAGCCGCACAGCCGCAAAAAGACACACAGGCAGACGCACAAAGACAGGACACAGACACCCATAGACGTAGAATCGCAGATGCAGACGCAAACACAGAGAGACGCAGACACCCATAGACACAGACGCAGACACCCATAGACACAGCAGCACAGACGCACAAAGACACACATAGACGCGACATACCTAGATGTAGAATCACAGACGCAGGTGCAGACACCCATAGATGCAGATGCACAGACACAAACACAGAAACAGACACTAAAAGTAATTTACACCTCAACTGAGGATACTATGATTTCTTGGGCCACAAATTGCCTTACCAACCTGCTGCCCTTTGACCATATCAGTAATCACATACATGATGTGTATTTCACCCAAAGGGACAACACTGTCAAGCATGCTGTTTATTCTTTACCCCACAGACCTCAGATACAATTGATAATCTCAGATGATTCTGAACCTGCGCGATTCATCAGTGAAAGAAGCACCGAACTGGAGATGGCGTAAGAAGGCATTTATTGCTGGAAAGACAAAGGAACTGGTGGCAGACATCAGGCAGAGCCCAGCTGGGCCGTGCTCAGGCGTCCAACAGCATATGATTACCCTGCCAGCCATGGGATTTGAACCCACAACCAGCTGAGCCACATGCTACGTCATCAATGCTAGGCTGGACTGGCGTGACAAAATGGAAGGAGTCTGCATGAACGTGCAGAATATGTTACTGACTCCCTGGACTCTAGCAATGCATCATTCAGAGACAACTCTCCAAAAATCTCCCATACCACACTGCTACCAGTCCTCTCAAGATCTATTTCTTACCAAAAGCTCTCTCTCCTAATTTCTATTTCCACAAATATACAACCACTGGCTCTCTTTCATCCCAATGCCATTAAAACAGACAGTTCTCAATGCTTTTCTAGAAGCTCACTCAAGACTTTAATATACTTCAAAATTACAAACTGGGATCTGTTTCCCCTTCTGTCCAAATGTCTACAGTGTCTTAAACTACAGAACTCATTAAAACTACAATACCAAGCACAACATTCCAGAGAGGCTCCTTAGAGACCCAGCGTGTTGCCATTCTGCTACAGTAGTGTCTCTTTCCTTATTCTGCTGTACCTATATATACACACTTATCTCCAATGACAGAATTACATTCCAGTCAACTCCTCTGTGAGAAATGAACCTTGATATCACTGCAACAATTTAAACTTTAAAACAACTATAGCATTAAACCTCTGGCCCACCTTCTTTAAACAAATAACAGCGGCTTCTTCCTATACTACTACTGGGGGAGAAACGGTACGTACCTCGGTTTTGAAGTTACGGTTTGGTACGTTTTTGGTACAACGGGGGTAAAATAAACAAAACTATAATAAATTGCTTCTTTTGTTCTTTATTACACAGTGATTTACTGCACAAAGAATGACTGTCTTTCTTAAATAAAAAGTCTCTGTCAATACTGCTGCAACCTACTACTAAAAAGCTAATATTTACTTGAAAGTCAATCAAAATAAATATTCTATCATGTAAATAAAAATAAAATAACTATCCATTAAGGTACACATTTACAAAATTAACTGTACCTGATCTGTACTGTATTCGCATTACCAGCTTTCACCTTCATATCAGAACTGTGCAACACAAATATCGTCTCAAAAAAGACAAAGCATAACAAAATAAATATCCATTTTGGTGCCTCATTTTAAACAATCCCTGTGCTGTACTTGTATTCACATTAACACCTTCCAGCTTCACATTAGGACGTACGCATGCATGTGTAATGGTGCGGCTTCATCCAACCCTTTCCGAATGTTGCTCAGGGGAGACACACAAACACAGAAAAGGTTCTAAATCTGCTGCATTCGTTCGGTACATATGCGTACCGAACTGGAAGCTCCGTACCAAAATTTTTCAGTACGTACCGTTACACTCATAACTACTACATCTAACAGATTCAGTGATTCATTACAACACTGAATCCAGCTGTTGTTCTAGGTTCTGCTCATTGTTTCTTCAGAAACGCAAACTCCTGTCAAGTAAGGGCCTCGTCGTTCTCCACACCCAATCACAGTCAACACAGGGTGTCTAACTGTTCCAGATATAAAATAAATAAATTTCTCTTTTTGGCTTTGACCCCTATGCGTGGGAATAACCCCACACAGAGAACTGCTACATCCCACTGGCTTTTCAGCAAAGGGATCAAAAGTTCAGCCCAAAATTGCAGGACATTTCATTGGTCAGGTCTTTGGGAACATGGCAGATTTGACTCAGACTCTTAATGAGGCACAGAAGGGCACCATTTGCCACTGAAATCTGTTTGTGTATTTAAATGAATTCAATGTCACGTGTTGGGGTAACCGCCAGAAGATTCCCCTGCCTAAAGCCCTAAGCACCAACCCCCCCCCCACCCGCCACCCCAAACCCTGTCCTAGACGGCAGTTTGAAGGTGGACAGCATAACCCTCTGTGCTTATCCCTATAATCTTCTTGGGCATCTCTTAGGCTATGTAGTTTGTTACCAGCAATACATTTTCACAGCAAATGAAGCAGTACTTCTATCTGAAGTATTTGCCCCCCACTCAAAATATAACTTCTAGCAGATCTGCAACAATTAGGCTTGTGCTGAGATTCATGCTGTCACGCATCCCCGTGGGATATCTCTTCCAGATGAGTCAGGCTCCATATCGGTGCAGTAGACTGCTGTCTCTCACAGCCCCGGCCTCTCGCTCCTGTACTTCTTCAACGTTGCTCCTTCATTCCACATTTATTTTTTTCCCCACGTTCCTTTATGTATGTTGTTGCATATAATCTTTTACTTTCTTAAAGAATTGATATTGAATTAATCTTTTGGTTCTGTTGCAACCACTGGAACGAGTGTCATCTAAGTGGTGTGACTTTGCTACTGTTTCACTGGCCAAATCACCCTCATCCTACTGCCTGCATTTTCTGTTCATTAGCATACAATTTTTAATTCTTATTTTCTTCCTGTTATGTTTCAACATGCATGACTTTATAATATATACTTATCCCATTGCCTTAGCTTCCATTTGGAGTCACTTGAGTTCTTTGTGTACTAGGAGCAAGCATAGCACGTCAAATTTTTTGTATGCATGAATACTAACGAAACCTGATTCTGATTCTTTTGCAAGGTGCAAAGTGCAGAGGATGAAGAAAACTAAACCACCTATCCACTTGACACTTATAACATTCTCTAACCATTTTTTTATTCGATGCCAAACAGCATTCTTGGTAAAACCTTGCAGCTAGGTTTAAATTTGTGAGTGAAAATGCCATTAAACTGCATATAGATTAGTTTTGCTTCACCACCAAGACACCTTCTTATGGAAAAGTATGTTTTTTTACAGTAATGTTTACAGAAATGTTACAAATAAGAAGGCCTCCATTTTTATCGTCAATGTACTTAATAACTATGCATGATAAAGGATAAATGGATGTCAGATGACTATTCAATAATGTTCGTAATGGCTAAAAAAACAAAGCTTAGGTAAAACTTGTAGGACATAACATTACACTAAATCAGCCACTAATGGTCATTATAAGAATTTCCAAAAAATACTAGTATTAGTAACACGACATCTCAGCATACGGTCAGATTAAAATAATTATACTCTTATCGGTTATAAAACAGCATTAAATGGCTTTAAAATAATAAAAGTTAAAAACTGACCTGAGTGAATCGACGCACTAAACAGGTTTTCCCAACTCCGGCATTTCCGATTAAAACTATTTTAAAAAGGTGATCATAATCTTCCATGCTCATCAGCACAGCTGCAAGACACGAGAAAATATTCGCAATTATACGCTATTCCAGTCATGTATAATCCGTCTTCGATCCATTTCATTATTACCTTTATATATCAAACCTACTGCATTACTGTATTGTAATGCCTTGCTGTTACTTAGGAGATGGATGTAAAAAAAAAAAAGGAACACTGCTCAGAATTCCATATATTCCCCCTAGATACACCGACAGAGAATTTAATGACCTTCGTGCTAAGGCATCATTTACCAGTTTCAAGAAAACAGATTTACTAAACATTTGCAAAGGAGCATGAGCTTACGCCACTGCACATAGAGTACATATAAATACATATTTCAAGGAATTGAATTATTGAATTTTAAATCAAAATGATCAACTGTAATATGCTTATGCATTTCTTAATAAATATAGTTAAATATACATTTTTTTAATTAATCAGAGTATTGTAGTCTTTGCATGAGTTTTCCGTTACAAAAGAAACTAGCTGTAATGATTTTTTTATTATTTGTCAAAGCTTCCACACCTATCCTTATCTTTCTCTCATGGGAACACGTTAATACAAATCTTAGATAAAACATGACTACATTCAACTTACCAAAACAGGGATCTCCCCCACAAAAGTTATTTTGATTTCATTAATCTGTTTTATAGCTTGGTAGATTATTGAAAGCAAGTCAAATCTTGCAGCTCGGTTTTGTTGCAGTGTTGCACAAGGTTTAGAACCAGAGGAGTTTCTTTTGCATTTTTAACAATGACATCACTCATTTTCTATTGGAGGAAGACTGCCATAGCAAGACACTGACTTGTGTTGGATTATGGGATTTGTAGTTCATTTGTCTCAAGCTCATTTGTAATCATACAGTTACGTACTACGTTCCCCAACAGCCACGGATACTTCATCGCCCTAAATACCGAGAGGGGGTGAGCCTTCTCAAGGCGTAATATTTATTCAACAAATACAAAGAGTCCTACTTTGATTTTGTCAGTAAATCATGGTCATTTGTAGCGTGTGTAGTGAACTTGTTTTCGCGGCATTAATTCTTAGTTGCGATAACAAGACGTTCTGTTGATCTCCTTAAATGATACTCTGCAGTATCTTATAACTAGGTTCTAAATCATCTACATGTCATTGTGCAATGCAAATGCTTTGCACAATTAATACTTTCTAATTCCAACTAACAACTATCATGTTCGGCTCAGTTTTTAATTTATTGTGCTATTTATGCCAGTATCTGAAGTGATCAAGTAAAGCGATTCATTGATGCATTCCTTTAGCATACAAATATCTGTTAGTTTTCTACAATTAACATCTCCAATGCACCATCGGTGACAGATTGTGGTATGGCTGCACATAACTTAAGAATTTACCCAAATAAAAGGACCCTTATTAAAAGGGGAGACGATTTATTTTAAAAGACACACAATGAGACAATATTGTACAGTTCAAAGAAATATAGTCAATAGAACACCCAAAAAACTAATAAACTCATTCCGTATTGTGGCAGCTAGTCAGGGCAACAATGGACGTTTATGACTAATTGTAAAGGTAGAACAGAGTTGGAAGTAGTGCATTTGGGGAAAACTTCCCTTTCATTCACCCATCCATTTTCTGAAGCCCATTGTCCTATTCAGGGTCACGTAGGTTAGGGTTGTCCCAGAGGTGTGAGGCAACAGTGCTACCCATGCTGCCCCAACTTCCCTTTTAGTTTGAGATCATTATAAACATAATATCTATTCAAGTACATTTAAGATAATAAAAGATTCATCTTGAACATCTTTTTCAGATAGTCATTTTTTTGGTTCCCTTCCTTGCTCACCAGCTCTCCTGAAAAAGGGCTAGTTGTTCCTGGCATGCTGAAGTAGGTAAGCTGAAGCAAGTTTTAGAGCTTTACAGGTGTAGTGGACTAATAGCATATTGAACCTGCTACCTGTTCCATATAATCGGTACTGAAGCAGCTCTGCACCTCAACACTGGTATCATGTATACAACCCAAAGTGATCTCCAAAAGTCTGATTGTTTTAAGTAATGTTGTACTACCTTATCCTCATTACTCAAGCTAGGTAAGTTTCAACAAGCTAAGAAAATGAACTTGATTTGGTTACGAGTGTGTTTTCTGTAATAACACCCATCAGTGCATACTGGTTTGTTACCTCAAAGCATTTTATTCAGATGCTTTGGAGTGACAGCATGGAATGGTTCTCTTTAACAGTGACACATTCAAATTAGGTTAATAGATGCATTCTAGTTGAAACATTTCATATATACTGCTCCGTGATGCTCCATCTTCTTGTGGTCATTTTGGCATGAAGTAATGTGTATGTCAATTTCTATGAAGCTTTCTTTGGCATTGAACTCTGTCTACCCTCAATCAATTCTTACAGTTTCAGTGAAATTTGCTGATTCTTTTTAAAATTAGTTTCAATGTGTGTAAAGAAAAAAATAATTCTGGGTGTTAGATGGCTAACTGTTGCTCCAATATACATAAGCTCAATAAGCATAAGTGGGGGTGAAGGACTGGAACATATCCCAGGAAGCACACTGCACAAAACTGAGGAGACACACTGGATAGGTCTGCCTTCCTTGCTGATTCCTCATGTTCATCTACAAACAGATGATGCAGTAAATGGCACGTCTTTGCTATCACTCGGGAAGGCCATGTTTGATCAACATCTTAAATAGGCCTACAATTCAATACTTTTAAACATGAATTTGAAATACACTGCTAATCGAATAATCTATTATAATTAAAAGAGGTTATTCAATGCCAGCCCTTTTTAAGTGTTCCGAAAATCTGAAAACGTATTTCAAAAGATCCCGATTTCCGTGTTTACTTAACGTATTGTGAAAGACTAACGGAATACGGAAGGCTTCTCGTTTAACATTAACCTCTTCGCTCCGGTTTGCTACAACAAAAAAAAATTTAATGCTGCAATGCGAACAGTGTTCATTATAACACTGAAACCAAACAAAATACGAGTGCAACTGAAAAACGATTGTTATAATGTCTTTGGGTTTATAGCATACGCATCTCTAACCAAACCCCATGTTACCCCCCAGTTACCCCCCCCCCCACGTGGAACGTTCCCTCTCGTATGAATAAACCCCGTCTGCGCAGCCCCACTGGCCAACCCAATGTGACCAATCACACGTCGCGCACGTCAGCGCGTGGACAAATAATTTTGTATGACGTTGCAGTTAGTTTAGCATCGGCGGCCATTTTCTTGGTCGGAAATTTAGCGAAGTGAAAAGCTTACCGAGAAAAACCATCGGTCTTCAACGGTCCATTTAGGTGAAAATATCAAAAGGGTCGAATGTTTGAAAAGACTGTGTGAAAAGTGTTGCTTTATTGTAAAATTGGAGTCGAAGCTGATTGTAAACACGAAGTAAAGATGTCTGACGACGCGGCGAGGGAAGATGCCTGTAGAGAGTATCAGTCCTCCCTGGAAGATTTGACTTTCAACAGCAAGCCCCACATCAACATGCTGACCATACTTGCCGAGGAGAATCTGCATTTCGCCAAGGATATCGTCGCTATAATTGAAGCACAAATTGCCAAGGTTTTTATGAAAATAGAATTTTTAATTTCAGCAGTCTTACTACCGATATAGAAACAGCTTGTAGTGACGCGTATGTTAAAGCTTAGAAGACAATATGGCGACCTCATTGTGTAATTCCTGTTTTCCAGTTGACAAAATTAGTCGATCTCTTTAGCGAAATGTCTGACTGGTAATTTAGTAGGTACTCATTCTAACTTTCCAAGTTAACTTTTCCATGTTCAGTTAGACAGCTGGCTTATTTGGATGAATGGTTGGTTGGCTTGTTAGTTTGCTAACTATGATAGCTATATCTAGTCTTGAACCTAGCTGGCTAGCTATTTCAAACACCTACTAAAATGTTAACCAAGTAGCGCCAATTGACTCAATGTTAATTCGTCGGCCAGTATCTAAATATGGTTTCTCAGTTCCTGTGTCTCTTTCCTCTGCAATGAACAGTGGACCAATATGGCGACAACTGTAGCTGGCTGGCTAGGTTACAGAAGTAGCAAGCTAGCTATCGGTAACTCGGCCATTTTTAAGTTGACATTCTGTAACACGTGGGTACGAGCCTACTTTATAGTGAACTTTGGTACTCGCTTCTTTTACTAAAGTGAACGCTAGCTGCGTGTGTCTGGCCAGCAAAAGTACAATTGTAACACGGCCGAATTGGCGATATTGCTGCTATATATTTTTTAATTTGTTAAGGTAGTTGCAATGCATTTACCTTACTAAACAAAGTAGCCAAGTTTAATGAAAAAGTCAGGCCAGTGAGGTTCATGCTCCAGTTAGTCAAGTTTATAATTTAATCAATTCCGGTTTAGTGTTCAAGCTAAGATTTCACAGGTGCACCAAAGGTTAAAGTGGCTTAAGAAAAGCAAATTGGTGTTTGAAACTGTCGAGTGATGGTTATTCGTAGTGATTATGAATTCTGAAATGTGAATGGATGGTATTTAATGTGACAATAAAAAATATTAAATATTGTTTTGTCTTTTTTATTTCCCAGTGTAATTTATTGATTAAAAAACGCGGTTTGTTTGTGATCTGTGACTGTAACTCCTCTTAAATCTAGGTAACTTTTTTGGCAAACGTTTTTGGAATGTGGATTCCGTATTGCCACAAAATTCACCTCATTTTGCTGATGAAATGGGGTATTTAACTGTGGCCATGTGGACCGCTGTATCTTTTTTTTTTTGCCTCTGTCATATACTTAATTTAAGAGTAATTTTGTAGCCCAAATATAATTTGTAGTTTGGCTGCTTTATTAAAAGATATCTGGTTCAGACTATCTATGGACTTAATTCTTTTTGGTTATGGTAGAAATGCACCCATAATGTTCACTTGGAAACCTTTGGTTCATAATTACTGAAATGCTTTGCAGTTTCTCTCCAACTACTACTTAAAGGTTCTCTCATTTTTTGAAGATCCATAATGTATAAAATGTAAAATGTTCTCCTTCCAGTCACCCCCCTTTTTTTCTTCAAAAATGACTTGTCTGGGAATTTTTGAATGACACTGAGGAAATGTGGACTTTCAAGATTTGGATTCCCTGCTTTTTCCCCCTAAACAAGAAGTTCTCTGATTTGGAGAGCTCTGAAGATGATAGCTGGATTTTTTATATGCTTGTTAATTTTTCCCGTGTATATCTTTTACTTTTTGTGAATGTTTCTTTACTGGTTCAACTGGTTAATGAAAACGTCGTCTTGAATTTTCAGGGATTTAAGCTCAATATTTGCATGCAGAGAATTTGGTATTTTCCTGCTAAACCGGTACATGTGAGCCAGTTGCTGGTTTTAAGGATTGATCTTTTGTTAAAATTATTGGAGCTTAAGAATACATGCTGAAATGTACATGTATCTGCCTGTCTTCTAAACTGTTAAGTTTTCTGTTACTCTAGGCACCTGCCCCTGAGAAGCTTCCAGTTTTGTACTTAGTGGATTCCATCGTGAAGAACGTTGGAGGCGAATATCTTGCTGTGTTCGCTAAAAACATAGTAAACTCATTTATATTGGTTTTTGAAAAGGTACTTTCTATGTTAATACAACTACTGCTTGGGTGATTTTATGTGCTCTGTCTGTTGTAATTGATTTTATAGCTCAAAACAGGTTTGTGGTTTGTATACTTGTCTAATTTGCCATTGTGAGACATTTTAATTTGACACATTTAGTCAAATTCCTATATTCGTGTTAAGGTAGAAT